CTTCCTGCTCTTCTGCTGGGTCTGAGGGCTTTCAGGCAGCAACACTGAGGTGAGAGTCATTCCCCAGTCTCTTCAGGCCTGCAGCAGTGGCGTGATTGTGGGTCAACAGTAGTTCATATGGGCTAAACAAATCAAATTGTTTGTTTTGCTTGTGGGTTACAAGGCTGTTCAGCAAATGCTTTGCTGTCCACCAGTAGTACAGCACCATGTTGTTCTCTATAACAGGCAGTCGGCTTTCAAACGTTTGACTTACGTCTTTCTAAAGTTTCAAATGCTTCAATAGTCATTTCCTTAACTTCGAAGGAAATACAAGCTTTACAACAACAAAAAAACGAAAGCGTCAAAAGAGACAAGAAAACTGAAATCTTTATCATGTATGTATTCAAAACATTTATGAAGAGCTTACAAAGACTTATTTTAACAAAACTGAGTTTTCTTAATATTGCCATTTGGAATTCTAGCAAATGTACTTGCAATGCTACTCTAGATGAACAGGTCATACCTGCTCAGCTGAAACTCCATATTTGTAAAAAAAAACTGAATTTATGATGAACGGGTCATACCTGCTCAACTGAAACTCAATATTTGTTAAAAAGGACTGGATTTACAAGAGAAACAACTGTAGATTTTCTGAATGATCACAGTGTGAGATCACAGGAATATTTTAGGTCTTCTCAAGAAAACGCAGGATACCGTGAATCATCAGGATTTGCATTAGTAGTAAAATCATACAATACAATCAGATGTTTTTGTGTTCCAGTGCTGTATCAGTACAGACTTTTAAACCCCTTCAAGTTCCTTCTTGCCATTGGTCTCTATCCGTGTTCTGTTTCATGGGCATCTTCTCTCAGTAGCTAAATGCCACAGGAATCGTCACTAATTTACCCAATATTGAGACCTAGCTTGACTGCAGAGAAAACCCTTTAGTTCAGAGTTCGAAGCCCCTGCCTTGCACAGCGCGATTGCATGCAGTTGTAACTAAGACTCCTTCACACTTAAGCTGGCCCTCAGCAGCTACAGATTTAGGTCAAACACGCGTCGCACTTGAGATTTAAAGCAGCTCAGTATGTTCATACTTGACTGAAAAGCCGGCCTAAATTTCAGCAGACTGCCTTTTTTTAATAATGTAAAGATGTGACATAAACAGTGAAATGGTGGTATTGTCGATGTCAAGCCAGTGGATTTCTTACAAAAGAACAATGGAACACAAAGCAGAGGAAACAGGCGGAAACTACATAGAAGTATATTTGGAGATGGACATCAAGTGGCACTACTTTATCCAAAGGGTTGTGGGAGAGTGGAGCAGGCTAGCCAGCCATTTTGTTGAAGCCAATAGTGATGAGATCCTTGGATCCTACTAACTTCCAAACAGGCTAGGTAGGCCAAATGGTCTCCTCTCGTCTGTATTCTTTCGAATGATCTTATGAATGGTAAAATTGCATGGCAGGAATAAGTGCCAACACTTTTTCAACAATTTTTATACACTTTCTAAAAATGTAAATAAGAGATGTTTCATTCCTTGTAACATTGCCAGTACTACGGTATACTTCATATAGTACTGCTTCACTTCATACAGTGCTTTTAATTTAAATCAGTTTATGTTTAACTAAGTGAGTGCACATAAATAAGCTTTAATTGATCTTAAGATAGAGCATTATATACAGATTGAGTCTCTGACAGACATTTGTGTGTTTAGCTTCCAAAGGAATGCACAGTATGTTTTTTAGTTTTAAGATGTTTCCTAATTTTTTACATTCCCAGACTTTGTCAGACACAGAACACACAATGAAACGGAGATGGAATTCTACATTAAGGTGTAATTGTAGCATGCCAACGTAAAGGAAATGAGATGTTTCAGACATACTGGATTCTCCAAAGTTAGTGCCCTGTGGTAGAGGACTTTTGAGTTGCGCCAAGAGACAAAAAGAAAAAATGCTTAGAAGGGGGTGGAAATTGGCTTCTGAACCATAAACATCACCCATCTGCCATAGAGTCAAGTTGGAGCACAAGCTGCAATCAGAAACCATTCAACTTGGAATGCCGACAAAACAAAGTTCAGCAGTACTGTCTGTTCTGCTGCTCACACCTGTCACTAATTGCAAACTACTGTAACTCTTACACTGCTGTCTGGCATTTTGAGTGTGTAATTTTCATGCTGAACAGGGCCTGGTCTGGCCTGGATAAGCTTATCAGGGACAGGATACGGATTTTACTTGATTCCAACAGTTATTTGATTTTAAACCTATATTGTGTAAGTAAGTAATGTACAGAATGATTTGGATTGGGGATTGTAGCCCTGTTTTTTCCCTAATTTTACTTTCTTATATGTTAAGCAATCTGTCAATGCAGAATGTACCCTCTAATAATATCCAGAAGACATAGTATTGGAAGATTCAGCTGGCAATGTTTTTCTCGAAATGCTCTACAGCTGGAGACTTTGTTGTGTCATGAATTAATTGTAGGAACAAAGAACATAATATGGAGGTCTCAAAGCAGTTGTGTCCCTTTTCTTCCACATACAATTCTGAAATGGGTTTTTTTCTTCTAGGTTTCAGCTGTTCTAGAAATATTTGAAACATGGAAAAACCTTGTTGTTATCCCTTCGACTTTAAGCAGTGGCGGACCTCTCATTTTAATACTGGACCTGTGCCCAGTGCTGTACAGTTTCTTTTAGATAATGAAAAATGTTTTCGCAATGAGAATTCCGAGATCAACAGTGATCGGTTTCTATAGAGAAGAGCCTCTGCCTTATTAGGCGTGGGCCAGAAGGAAATATTCAGACCCCCTTAAACCACACCAGGACTGGCGAGGTGCCCGGGCCTTTGAGCTGCAGCACAGCTGCCCTGACTCGCTCTGCGATCCCCTGCCAGCTGTTCCGCAACAAACCAGGAGACCTAAGGGTGGAGGGGTGGAGCGTGACATTCCTCTGCCCACAGCGCCACTCCCACTGCTCACTGCTCTGAGGCATATAGCCGTGTGGGAGAGGTGCCTTGCCTGATTTGAGCAGAGTCCTCCATGGGTGTCTGTTAAGGCCACTGAAGGATTGACTAGGGGAAATTGATTCCTTTAGAAAAAGGGACAGAGCATGCTCCTGCGGACTCTTCCGCCCTCCAGCAGTTTCGAAGAAGAGTGGAGCAGACTGACGGGCCACCTCTCCCAGAGCTCGGAAGATGTCTATCAGACTAGCCTCTCAGGTACCAAGGGCTGGATCACTGTTACAGAGCCGCACTGCTCCTCCAGACACACCTTCTAAGGTTTTATTTTTCAGGCTGTTAAGCGGCTTTCTGTAGTTCTGACTTCGCTGCTTGTGGCAAAATCTAATCAGCCTGTCGGTTCGTGTATTGCTAAAAAAAAAGAAATGTAGAAACAACTGTTTTTGTTATACTAGAAGTACATTGATTGCACCTCTATCAAAGGTTATTCCTCACAGTATATTATATTCACTGATTGAGTTAAACTTTGGCCGCTCTGGCTTATCAAGGATATGTGTAGACAACATGGTCGAGAAGCACATGAAGAAATGAAACTTTGTGTTTCTGTTGGATTGCAAGAGCTTTGGCCTTTCAGATCAAGGGTCCAGGGTGTCTCAGGTTTATGCCCACAGTGCTGCATGGTGGTTAGCGCTGTTGGTTGTAGCTGGATTTAATGCCAGACAAAGGGGCTTTCTGTGTGGAGTTTGCACGTTCTTTCGGTGTTTAAATGGGTTTTTGCGAAGCGCTCCAGTTTCTCCTTTTTTAACGCACGGTGTCGAGGTTTGCAGGCATCTCGAAATTGTTTCCATTTACAAGCCCGGTGATGAGCTCGTGCCCCACCCAGGGTGTGGTCCCAGCTTTCTTCCCCTGCTTTTTGAGGAGTGAGCCTCACTAGGAATAACGGCTTTCTGATACAGGATGGAAGGGTGCCAACTGCGGTGGTCTTCCTTCGGTGGTCTGGCCAGGTGTGCTTGAACTATATTGTTTTAGGTAAAAGAATGAGAAAGGGGATAGTCCAGTCTCCTCTCAAGTAAGGGTCACAGCAGAGAAAACTGAGAGCAGGAGGCATTGTTTTACCCTGGTAGTGACAAATCTGCAGACTGCACACCCCGCCGTGTTGTTGAAACTCACGTGCTGGTGTCTTTCAAAAACCACAGGTTGATAATTAGCTACTAGAAACCAAATGAGTTAGATGGATCGAATGGCCTCCTCTAATGAGCGCTTATTTGTCTCTTACTGAGAAATTGTGTGCAAGAGATTTTGGTGTTTGTGCAGTGGGTTGCAATATAAATGTAAAAAGATGCTCCAACTTTTTCCTTAGTCAATTTGAATTCCTATTAGCTTAGCTTTGACTAAGTGGTTTTTAGGACGAGTTCCAACAGCATGATCACTTTTGAACAACTCACTTTTAATGATGGATTCAAGCATAAAATCACGCTGTTACTTCTCTAAAACAGTTCAGGGGTCTTTCTCACACCTGAAGAAGGCTCCACAGCTGAACATGTTGTTTTCTTTCTTCTCTTTTCAGCATGGAATAAACCTATTGTTCCTACTCTGTAACTATACAGGTTCATAATTTGAATTCTAAAATCTGGAAGCCAGAACAGCAGAGGTACAGATCCACATAAGCGTAGTCAGAGTAGACTCGTTGTGAGAGTTTAGCACACAACTATACTTGGGCTACAACCTCCCTTTGATTTTGGGTGCTTTGAAAAGCTCTGGGGGTCTCTGGTAGTGACCCCAGGTTGAAAACCATAGCAATGATTTTTTCCAAGTAGCACCAACTGTTGCATTTACAATGCTCACATCCTCTTGGATTTAGATTCTGAACAAAATAAGTTTTTGTGAACTTTAAAAAAATAAATGGGGCGCAAGTGGGGTCCCCCCAAACTAGGGTCGCTGCTGGCCGTGGCTCCTGTTGAGCCCCCACTGTTGCGTTTCACACTAGCATCCTGGACGAGTGTCCCTGTGGCTCTCCTGTATCCCCGAATTGCTTTGTTGACTTTCCTGTGTCTTGTCACCTTCCAGAGGCTCTGCACCGCCCATACGGCCTCGAACCCGACTCCTCGGCTCTGACGGAAGCAGTGCGCTGGAGCTCCAAGGAGAACCTGCTGGGCGCCACGGAGAGCGACCCCAACCTTTTTGTTGCACTTTATGACTTTGTGGCCAGTGGGGACAATACCCTGAGCATCACCAAAGGTGAGAGACACTCCTGATCTCAGGAACAGCCTGAACCTTGCATGGCCTGTTATAGATGCTTATAGTGGAGATTCACATGCTGAACTCCTGGGATGCTTGTTTCTTACCAGTTTGGTAGATGGTGGGTTTTTGTCCTTTGAATCCACTTCCAAATCCATCGCTTAACAGGGCTGTTACGTATGCCACATCAGCAATGAGAAATGTGTCATCGAGAAACAATTCCAGTTATGCATTATTCACCTTTTCCTTTCTGCATCCTCCTTTCCGAGGGCACCGATCAAAGAGATTCCTCTCTTGCGTCGGGCATACAGCGTTGCCTCAGACCTCTGCGGAATTCGCACACAGATTCAGTATCTTCTCAAACAAAACTCAAACAAACCTGATTATTGTACGATGAGTGTGGCTGCCCTCCCCACAGTGGAATTAATGTTCAACTACACTGAATCACCGAATTTCAGGCAGGGCCTACTCCACACCCTCGTTTGTCCGGATTTAATACGTAATTCCTTAAGAAGAGAAGATGACATTGGGTAAAAAATGATAACGTAAGGATGAGTGAAGAAAACGCAGGCCCTTTTCAAACTTGCCCGTTAGATTTGAAAAATGCAGTCTGCGAGAACTGAAACATGATATTGTGTGTTTCGAAGCTGTTTGAACAAAGTTGTTTTGTGAGCTAGATGTTATTTGACAATGAAATAAATCAAAACGGACCTGGACAATCTGCTTTCTCCAGCACATGTAACACACATGTAAAGTGTCAACAGAATGTTCCAACCTGCCAGTATAACTGCGTTTTTTCCTGTTATTTCCTCAGTTCATTGACATTGCCTGTGTCTAATGATTTTCTTAGGATATTTAATGTTCCTGGGTCATCCAAGTATATAATTCTTATATGGCTCCCAGAGTTTTCCTAAGTCCCTTTATAGGAATAAGTCGATTTCTGATATTTATGACTTTTTAAATTTTTATTACTTATGAATTTGTTGTTTTAAATATCGATGTGTGTTCTAGCCAGCCATTGTAGATGGCTTTAGAAATAGTCTCTTCTGCTCTGGTGAGCCCTGCCGCAGATCCGTGACGGAGTGTGTGTGTGTGCGCTCTGCCTCACCCAGGGGAGAAGCTGCGGGTGCTGGGCTACAACCAGAATGGCGAGTGGAGCGAGGTGCGCTCCAAGAACGGGCAGGGCTGGGTACCCAGCAACTACATCACGCCGGTCAACAGCCTGGAGAAGCACTCGTGGTACCACGGCCCCGTGTCGCGCAGCGCCGCCGAGTACCTGCTCAGCAGCCTCATCAACGGCAGCTTCCTGGTGCGGGAGAGCGAGAGCAGCCCCGGCCAGCTGTCCATCTCGCTGCGCTACGAGGGCCGCGTCTACCACTACCGCATCAACACCGCCTCGGACGCCAAGGTCGGTCCCGACCCATTTAGTATTATTCCTAGGATTAAGAATTCCAGTCCCCCCCCCCTTCCCCCCCGGCTTCCGTGCTGAGACCTGCGAACCCTGCAGTGTACGAATTCCTGAAGCCAGCTGAGAAGAAAAAAAAATCCCCTTGCTTCAGACACTTCATAATCTTACTTTTGAACCAAATAGATCTTTTTTTTTTCCATTACTTTACAAGGACAGCAAAATGGCATGCTGTGGTTTGTATGAGATCATCACGTAACCCAAGGAGTAAGCTTAGAGCATGCCATTATAGGAAGATTTTCCCAAAGCCCTAGGCAGTAATGGTAGATTTCAGAATGGATGGTCTCCCTGTATGCTTTGTCCGTCTGTACCTGTAGCTAAGGTCACCCATGTAAGCGAGGTTATCTAGTGTTCCGAGCAATCCTGCAAGGTCTTTCTTCCAGCTAGCTAGTGTCTCAGATGAAGGGACACTCCTTACAATATGCAGTCACAGCTGGCATATGATGTCCACACATGGAGACTAACAGGCATGAACACAGCGGTTTTCTTTGTTCACTGTTTTCAAGTAGCTGCTGGTTTACGATCTACCTCTGAATCAGAGGTGGAACTCCCTGTGTTACACCATACGTCTCAACACAGTGGCTTTCTATGAGATTGCCAATTCCTGCTTTCTTCCCCATATTTCTAACAGCTGATGAAATTTATAAAGAGTGGTGAAAAGCAGGAGAAAAGCTTGCAGAGGTGAATGACTAAAACAGAGACTTCATGTCATGGTTTTTTTTACAAAGATGTGCATGTAGCCTCTTAAGTAATTTATTTAACCCCACTGCCCCCTTGTGGATATATGGTGTAATGGTCACTAAAAAGTCCTGAAATACCAGTAAATGTTTCATATCCAATGTTACTTTTGCAAAGAGTTGCATTGTGCTGTTTTTAAATCATTTATGGCCCTCTTGAGCTATATTTTAATTATTGTCTCCCTCTCAGACGTTAGTTTGTCTTCTGAGCATCATTGTGGTCTTAGTCTCCATTACCACTTCTTATTAAGCCGGAGTGGAAGTTGCACTTACACGTTGCTGGTCAGATCTGTATTTGTCAGTAGTGTTACTGCTCAAAATGTATGACTCAAGTCAGATATTTTTGCATGTTAATACAGACTTAAGGGGGTCAGGAAAATAGTGTAGTTAAATAAAATGGTTAAAATGTCAAAAACATACATGAACAGTTGGTAACACTTTGTGGCATGTCTGCTCTTTTTATTCTCAGGCACAGCCCTGACAAAAAGGTAGTAAATCAGAGGTAAAACCTAGACAGACCAATATTTATTAAGAAAACAATTACACAGGTACACAACATTAAACATTACACTAGGACAGCAAGCTCTCTCTAACAAATTTTAAATGGCGGCGCTAAGATTACTTGGCCTGACTGATCCAATCCAAGACTGATCAGAACAATGTCCACTCACACGGCACAAGCTAAGAAAGTTAGGGGGGGTCCTTCTCCATAGATCTCTGTTTCTTTATCTTCCTTCTGTTTCCCTTGACGTTTTTCTCAGAGACCCAACGTTTTTTTGTTTTCTCATATGTGAACTTAACAAATGAGAACTGTGTAAGTTATCAATTTTAACAATATATGTTAGCTGTCCAAAAGCAGGACAATTATCAAGTTCTCAGGGATGTGAACTGAAATCGATATAATTTTCTTTGTGGCCTTAAGACCTGAAAAATAAAAATAAAAGGAAAGGCAGGAGTCGCTGAGGTACCCTTGGGTTTAGGGGCCGCAGAGAGTATTAATGACTCCTCACCTGGCAGGCCAGTCCAGTTTCTCACTGCTAGCGGTATAAATGGACACCAGCTGTTCAGGCGGGGTGAATGTAGATGAGCTGGTTTCCCTAATCCCTGCGGGGGTCAGCCCTGGAGAGACAGGAACAAGCTCTGGTCTCATGATCCAGTCAGGGTGCTTCGTAACACAGCCCCCCCGCCTCCCCAGGTGTACGTGACGGCGGAGAGCCGCTTCAGCACGCTGGCAGAGCTGGTGCACCATCACTCCACGGTGGCGGACGGCCTGGTCACCACCCTGCACTACCCCGCGCCCAAGTGCAACAAGCCCACCGTCTACGGGGTGTCGCCCATCCACGACAAGTGGGAGATGGAGCGCACCGACATCACCATGAAGCACAAGCTGGGCGGCGGGCAGTACGGCGAGGTGTACGTCGGACTCTGGAAGAAGTACAACCTGACTGTGGCCGTCAAGACACTCAAGGTCAGGATAGGTAGACTACCAGCAGATAAAGAGCTTTCATTGTGGCCCGGCAGTTCACTAGTGTAACTGGGGTTTGACATTCCAGAGGTTTGGGTAGGGGAATCTAGCAGAAACATGTATGTGTCACCCTTTATCTTTGATATGAAATATCATTACCTCACATTGCTTATTATTTATACCTAAATACCGGAATCTGGTTTATGTCTATTGCACCTGTTGAAAACCTCAATTAATTACAACGAAGGAAAAACTTAGTTAAAATCAAAAACATCTAATAAAAATACAAAATTCACAGAAGGACAGAGTATGTAAATGAGTTTTCCAATGGAATTTTAAAAACCTCTGCAGACTGGAGGTTCCCGACCACTCCTGGGGGGAAATCCAGTGATGCAATCAAATGGAATATACAGTCACCGTTGGAAAAGAGTCTTGTTTTATCAGTGATGAGTAGTCCAGAAAATTTCCCACAACCGTTTCAGACAGAATATATCTTGGCTGATCTGCAGAAAGCTTTTTAGTATTTTCATAAAGAATTTATGTGTTTCCATCTAGTCACTGGACTGTGCATTACACTGCCTGGGATGGTGTGTTCTAGCTCTCTTTAAAGCGCCAGCACCTGAGCAGTTATGAAACACTGACAAACTGGCCCAGTTATGTTAAAACTGAGTTGGAATGAAAACCTGTCGACATACTAGCCCTCCAAAAAGTGGATTGGACACCCCCGTCTTAGACATAGAAGTGTATATTTTGGATATCAAAGCATGTGATCGTATCTAAGACTTCTTTTGTTCTTTTACTGCATTATGTAGGAAGACACAATGGAAGTAGAGGAGTTTTTGAAAGAGGCTTCAGTCATGAAAGAAGTCAAACACCCCAATCTGGTGCAGCTGCTAGGTGAGTTACTTGGTGCTGCGCTTTGGGTCTGGAGAGCACGGCCCTTACTTGCCGAGCGATCCAGAAAGCTGGTCCTGTGTGTACTTGGTACTGTACAACAACAGCAGAACCCCGGGAATCCTGGGAAAATCTTGTACACATCTGCTGTCGTACAGTTTAATAAGTGAGTCTTTTGTTCCCAAGGTTTTTGCTTTCGTAAAGGAAATACCGAAATCTTTAATTCTTAAAGTATTATTGCACGGTACCTTATGACTTCTATATCATCTCCGTGTACAAGAGTCCTGCCTGTGTCTAGGTTTTTGAACATAGCTTTCAGCATCTTGTCAGGAAGCTGTAACTGCTTGCCTGCAGCTTGGTAAGCAAGTGTTTGTCCCTGGCAGGCGTGTGCACTCTAGAGCCGCCGTTCTACATCGTGACGGAGTACATGCCTCATGGGAACCTGCTGGACTACCTGCGGGATTGTGACCGCGAGGAGGTGAACGCTGTGGTGCTGCTCTACATGGCCACGCAGATCTCTTCTGCCATGGAGTACCTGGAGAAGAAGAACTTCATCCACAGGTAACCTAGCTCCTGGATCCCAGCACCTGCATCTTCAGAATGAAAGGACTTTTGTTTAAAGGTCCGGAGTGCATTCCATCAGCCTTAAAGTTTTTATTCTTGCAGTGAGCATATAAACCAACTACAGATCTACAATTGGGGTTTGTTCAAAAATCAGTACAAATGTTGTGCAGTGCAGTGGTAGTAGACGAGTAGGATTCGAATCCATTGTGGTTGCTATTTGAGTAGCCAGCTGAGTTGCTTAGATAGCTAGGCACAGCTAATTCCAATCCCTGTCTTTTTTATGTGTCAAAATCAAAACCTTGGGTCTCCTTTTTTTGATGACCTGAAAGAGATTTTTAAATGTGTCAGCTCATTGTCTAAGGGGCATGATGCAGCTATAAGTTAAGGACGTTTCTGATCTAGTATTTTTTGATTGCTTGTTTTGGGGACTTGGCATGACTGCAGTTTATTGCTTCATTTCCTGGTATATTCTGTATTTTAATCTTCTCTGGTATAAATTAAACATTTTTATAATAGAATAACAATCTTCCACTAACTATTAGACTATTAGAATATATAGCCAATGAAAAACCCCGAGCAGGAGATGAGAATGAGTGAGTTGCGAGGGGGTGTGAAGAGACTCTGTGGGACATGTAGTCTTCAGGGCGGACTGATGTCTCTGTCTCTCTCTCCCTCAGAGACCTGGCTGCGCGGAACTGCCTGGTGGGGGAGAACCACGTGGTGAAGGTGGCGGATTTCGGGCTGAGTCGGCTGATGACCGGGGACACATACACTGCTCACGCTGGGGCCAAGTTCCCCATCAAGTGGACTGCGCCCGAGAGCCTAGCTTACAACACCTTCTCCATCAAATCTGATGTGTGGGGTCAGTAAACAGACTGAGCGCCAGCTACTTGCACAAGCGGCTTTTTGTCCTCCATCAGCGAACATCCACACAGAAACTGAAATGTCCGGGTTTCTTTTCAAGTTGCATCTCTGATAAATTATGTCATTAGAGTATTGTCTACGCAGTATGTATGCAAATGTCCACAAAGTTTTTTCTTTTCTGCTGCGGTTGTTTTGGTTTACTGGGGGGTTCCCTGGTATAATCCCTTCTCCTTGTTTCTGTTGGCACTGGACTTTGTTAATGCGTGCCTGTGAAATACATCAGTCAAGTTCAAGTAACTTTCATTGAAAGCGTTTTTTTTGTTTTAAAAGTCATTTCCCTGTATGTCATGCAGTCCTGAGAAAACTATTGTCATGCTGGTGAAGGTTTGGTCTAGGTCTGTAGGGAGTAAATTATCTTTTTCTGTGTGACTTTCAGCCTTTGGCGTGCTGCTCTGGGAGATCGCCACCTATGGCATGTCTCCTTACCCAGGCATTGACCTGTCCCAGGTGTACGACCTGCTGGAGAAGGGGTACCGCATGGAGCAGCCCGAGGGTTGTCCGCCGAAAGTGTACGAGCTGATGAGAGCCTGTGAGTACCCCTTGAAATCCATGGCACCTATGTCTACAGAAGAGTAGATCTTTGTATTAACTTAAGTTTTTAACATGCACTAAGCACACATTTATTATAATAATAGTTATAATTGCTTGAACTTATAAAGTGCTTTTCTGGACTCTCCACTCAAAAGCGCTTTACAGGTAATGGGGACTCCCCTCCACCACCACCAATGTGCAGCATCCACCTGGATGATGCGACGGCAGCCATAGTGCGCCAGAACGCTCACCACCCATCAGCTATCAGTGGGGAGGAGAACAGAGTAATGAAGCCAATTCATAGATGGGGATTATTGGGAGGCCATGATTGTTAAAGGCCAATGGGATATTTAGCTAGGACGCCGGATTTACACCCTACTCTTTTTGAGAAACGCCCTGGGATCTTTAATGACCACAGAGAGTCAGGACCTCGGTTTTACGTCTCATCTGAAGGACACCTGTTTTACAGAAGAGTGTCCCGGTCACTATACTGGGGCATTAGGACCCACATAGACTGCAGGGTGAGCGCCCCCTGCTGGCCTCACTAACATCTCTTCCAGCAGAAACCTTAGTTTTTCCCAGGAGGTCTCCCATCCAGGTACTGACCAGGCTCACACCTGCTGAGCTTCCGTTGGTTGCCAATTGTGAGTTGCAGAGTGATATGGCTGCTGGCTGAATTGGAAAGGAATCTGTTCTAAATCCCCTAATAGGAATAAAGAGTTCTGGGTATCCCAGTGGCTTAGTTTCTCTATTTGACGAGGTTTCTTCTAATCGGGGCTATGTCCTTCGCTAGCTGTGACCAAAGCTGCTCCCAGTGTGCCCATTGTACTTGTGTTAGAAGCTATAGAGGCCCTTAGCTTCTAGATGGTAAACCAGCAGCAGAAATGAAGTCCAGTTTGGTTTGGTAGCTAAATAATACATGTGCTTCTCAATTTATAAAAAGAAATTGGGGGAGGAGGTCAATCTGGTCTTCCTGCACCTTTTGTGAAGGATAAAATCCTCCACAAGGGTTTGATAAAAATGAAATGATGAATATGCCCTATCCTGTTTGGCAATTTATTTTCTTGATGGTCTTTTTCACCTCCTAGAAAACTAATTTTTGGCCTATTTCTTATTTCCTGTTTCAACCTTTAGGCTGGCAGTGGAGCCCTTTGGACAGGCCTTCGTTTGCTGAAATACATCAGGCTTTTGAGACCATGTTCCACGATTCCAGCATCTCAGAAGGTACCATCCCAAACCATAAGCAAAAGAGACTTAATTAAGAGAAAAAAATCAGCAAGATTAGAACATCTAGCCTTTGCTAGTTAGTAGCTAATTGATCCGAGGATTACATCGATCAACTGTTTTTTTTAAATCAAGCTTCGGACACGCTATGAGGGGGGGTAGCTTGTCCCACACCCCCACCAATTTTGAAAAAGAAGTGCCTCCTATTCTGTTTCACTATTCATTTTGAAGAACTCCTAATGCAGATTAAAGGATATTTATTCTATAAGTATTTTTGTTTAGTATTTCAGGATCACATATTATAGGCACTCCGTTAACTTTATGATATTTCCAGCAATGTGTGGAAGTTGATTTTTTTTTTTTAATTCCTTGTTTTTCCACGTCAAATTCAACAAATTCAGTGACAAACCGGAGACTTGCAGGGCATTTAGTGTAGCAGTGGCATGTCAGGCACCTTGCTCAAGGGTACTGCAGCAGCTTTCCAAGCGGGAATGGAGCCTGTGAGCCTCTGGTCCAGAGTCCAGAGCCCAGACCACTGCTCCATGCTGGTTTAGTACAAGCATTACCCCTGTCTTTCATTTGCCTCATCTCCTGCAACTCCTTTTTAAAACCGCTTCTTCATAGGACAAGAAGGTTAAAATAAAATCTTCTGAGGTGGTCTACTCACCTCTGTGGTCGAGTCACAGAAGTCGGTTCTCGCGTCAAGGTGAGCAAGCGTGATGTAGCGCGAGCAGAAAAGCTGCTTCTGTTTGTAACCAGCCTTAATACCTGGCGGTAGGAAGTGAAATAACTATCGTTTCTCTTTTTTTTTTTTGCCGTCGATAGAGGTGGCGGAAGAGCTGTGTAAAACGGCATCGACCACAGCTCTCGCCTTCAACCCCCAGCTGCCCCTCCTGCCGTCCAAGTCTCGGACGCTGAAGAAGCACACGGAGAACAAGGAGAACATAGAGGCGGGAGTGGAATCGCGACAGGAGCCCCCTGGGCAGGGCGCCCCCTCAGGTACTGCAGCGACACCACCCCACGTGCTGAGAAAACGCCTGGGTTACCGCCACTAGAGCGCAGTCACTGCCATCCCTTTATCAGTTACTGCTGCTGAAGCTCGGAGGTCAGAGTGTAGCTGGCACCACAGCAGGAGCAGGGCAAGAGTCCACTAGCTGCCCCTCGTCTCATCCAGGGCACTCGTTTGCCATCTTTGCCTTAGTGCTGACTTTTAGCCATCAGACAGAGCCATTCCTTTTCCTGAGGGGAACCCTTTTTTGAAGTCTACGGGGTAGGCACAGCGTATGGAATGGTGTAGAAAGATGTCACATTTCCCAAACGCTAATTTCTGGAAAAAAAGTTTTTGTGAGGCCAGTGTTGTAGAAAAGGTGCTCTAAGGTTGGTACTTATCCTGTGTGTCAACCAGCCACATAAACAACCAGGGACAGATGAGTCGGCTTATCAAAGTATTCAATAAAACGCATGTAGTGTCTGCTCTGCTTTACTTTGCTGTAGCCCAGAGGTCAGAATTCTCTTCATAATGTCATTTTAAAGATGAGGCCAAAAGTATTGCTCATGCTATATCCATGTAAAACACGTTAAACCTTTTTTTGCTCTTGTAATGTAATCCTTTGTCACATTTGCTTGCTTTTTGTAATAATGCTTATAGCACAGTAATCTACGACTCTCACTTCACTTTTGTTTAAACCTTAAAAGTATGTATTTGTGTATCATTTATATATTTATTTGTATGAAAAGTCTGCTTGTTTATCAATAAAGTTTAATATTAAAGTTATCGGGCACAGAGCTACAGTATTCTCTGTGTGGAGAAACTTTATTGGACAGAGATTTCAGGGAACAGCAACTAGATTATACAGCAAATGTATAAAATATTATTTTCCCATATTTCATTATTGAACACATTATTTTTGTACAAGAAGACGTTTTCAGTTCATAACTGGTCCATTTTTGGCTTCATTCAATTGTGGATTTGCTAATGGAGCATGGAAAATCATGCTAAAGAAAATGGATTCGCTGTAAAAATGGGGGGTGAGATTCCAGACCTAACTTTAAAAATTCAGTAGACAGATCTACCTTAAGTGAGTTTTTAAAATGTCATCTCCCCTTTTAAATGCTTTTAAGTGCTGCAGTAAATCTTATGAGACTTTGCAACATACACAACCTTGAAAAAGTTCAGGTGGGTAGCTGCATCAGCATGCATAGGCTGCAAAGGAGCAAGTAAAAGGTTTATTCCATGCTGAAAAGAGAAGAAAGAAAACACAACATGTCGACCGTTTCGTTTTCATGTCAACTAAATGAATGTTGGTATTATAATGGTACATTTCATTTAAAATATTGTTGTTTGCTTGTGTTTTGAACCTCTTTGTAACTTTACAACAAGAAACAACTTTTTGATGTCATTCGGAAATGTCTTAAGGTATTAAATACCTGCTCACAATAGCTGAAAAAATGAAAATAATTGTAGATTCTCAAAACTTAGTCTTTTCAAAAGAATCATAGTTTTAATCCAATCTATAGTAATTCTGTGTGAGTGTCTAAATAGGATATCATTGTATTACTGATGTATTACTGATTTGTCCCCTAAATTCAGACCCCTGCAAAATTACTAAAGTAACTTTAAATTAATTTCAGGTCCTTGAATGTTGTATTTTATATACTTGTACTTTTTATGAATATGGGTAAATATTTCTTTCTGATGATTTCTATATCTTTTTCCCTGTTGATAATTTGCTCCACTCCAGTCTTGTCTTCATTTTGGGACCTGTAGTTTTCCAGTACCTTTATCTGCATCTCCATAGTACATAGTAGGTGTTCATACAGTGATGTATAATTTTAATCTGATCTTGCACCTTGGTGACTTGGCGGTTTGTTGGTCAGCACTGCAACCTCTTGGGTCCTGGGTTCAATTCAGTGTGGTGTTTGCATGGTGTTCATATGGGTTTTCTTGAGGGGTAATATTCTTGTCAAGTCAGCTGGTGTTTCTAAATTGTAATTGTATTCGTGTCCCGTCCAGTGTACTGGCATCATCTGACGGTGTAGTCCCCTCCTGTGTCCTGTACTTCTTATTTTTGTATTCTTTTCCAAGAATAAGGGTCGTTTGTGATAATGGAAATGTTTTGGAGAGTTCAGATGAGATGAGGCCCCCAGTAATGTAGTATGTTTTATCATGACACAACTCAAAACCCAAAAACGATCCAACTGGGAAATACCAAAGAAAAGCATAAAACATTCCACAAGACACCATGACCTCACTGGAAGTTGTTTTCAGTCTTCAAGTTTCTAAAAGATTTGGGAAATCAGAAATATAATGAGTTCCCTCCAATGTTTGTCATCAGTGTGCTTACACTAGCAGGTATTCATATAGCACAGCTTGGAATGACCAATGTCTGAGAGAACTAGGTTGTACTGGGTAGAATTTCTGCTACAAGAAAATAGCAGACTGCTTCCCTCTTTGCTTTTCCAGAATATTTATGCTTAAAAAATGTACTCATAACAGAAGAGGTTCATGATTTTGCTGCCTCAAATTCTTTAAGATGTTGTATAAAATAATAAACAATTACTACAAGCCTGGTTAAAAGAAACAAATACTAAGATACTGGTGCGGTGGCTCTGATCATTAGCGCCTGTGGCTGGAAGGTTGCCGGGTTCGTATCAAGCGGCCGGCAGAGGAATCCTACTCCATTGGGCCCCTGAGCAAGGGCCTTAACCCCAACTGCTCCAGGGGTGCCGTATAATATCTGACCCTGCACTCTGACCCCAAACTTCAACCCCTGTCTGTGTGTCTCATGGACAGCAAGTTGGGGTATGCAAAAAGACAAATTCCTAATACAAGAAATTGTATATGGCCAATAAAGTGATCTTCTCTTATTAAAGGTAATTGAAAATACTGTATTTTGGGAAGCAGTTACATTGACAGAGATCCCTGGAACTTTTTTAAAATACAGCAATCTATAAAAATGGATTTTCTTCAGTGGTAATCCTTGTATCTCGGCATTTGATATAAACAATGTCATGATTTAATGGCATTTAGACGACTGCATTGGCCCGCAAGAAGCTGGTTGCTACATATTCATTAGTGTTAGGCTTTTAATATGCATTTAGTGTTCCCATCTCTTACATAGACCTATATTTTAAAGAACTTGTAATTACAGTATAAGAGAGTCTAACTTGAGTTAAATTTTAAGTAGAATACATTTGAACTCCTTGGCAGCTGTCTCCACCATTTATGTTTGTCTTTGGAGTTGGTTTCAGTTGGTGAAACTACAAACAGGAACAACACTGCTGGAAGCCAAAGCAGTATTTTTAACCTGCATTAACTTGGAGTTATCTGGCGTTTCCATATAGTTCCTTTTGCATTCGTTTACTGTACTGTCAAATCCTTGACCAGCAAAAAAAAAAGTAGAATTACTGGAATTTATTATATCTGGTACACATGGGCAACATGGTGGCACAGTGGTGAGCATTGCTGGCTCACAGCGCTGGGCCAAGGGTGCTATCTCCATTTAGTTTCTCCCCGTGATCGTGTGGGTTTCCTGTGCCTGCTCCAGTTTTCCTGCCACAGTCCAAAAACGTGCTGGTGGGTTAATTGGCTTCTGTCTTTGTGAGCCCTGCAATGAACTGCCATCCTGTCGAAGGTGTATCTGGCCTTGCGCCCGTTGCTTGCTAGGGTAGGCTCTGGCTCTCCCGTGGATCTGTATCAAATAAAGTGTTTAGAAAGTGAATGGATGAATTACACATGAGCGGCTGTGTCGTGCAATCTGAAATGGTTTAGGTTTGTGTCACTATTTTAAAATGATCTTTTCTTTCTTCACTGACAGTTTACTTAAAGTAACCATGTCTAGTTTATGGTGTATGTGGTAAACGGGTAGAGCAGTGGGAAGGATTCCAGCTTCCTAACTGTAAGGCTGTGGATTTGTTGTCTGCAGCCAGACTTGCATCCACTAAGCTTTATAAAGGGATGCCAGTGCTCCTTGGCTTAATCCTCTGATGGGCCTGCAACCTTTTACAGAAACTGGGATGATCTCCGACCTAATGACCTTTTAGTTCAGGCATGGTTTTATAAAGTCTTTGGGTGACGTACATTGAGTGACCCAGAAGTATAGCTGCATGCCTTGATCAAATGTAATATAAATTATGCCTGCATGCCCTAATCTTTTACTTTTACATATTCCTGGTGAATAAATAAAATAGCGTTACACTATGCAGGAGAGAGAGTAGACAGACATTTTTCACATAGGTGGCATTATTTAAATGTCATACTCTTTTCCAGCTATTTAACAAAGTGGAGTGCTTTTTTATCTCTACCATACCTCTTCTATTAACATGCCATTTTACCCAAAACTGTTCTGGAAAAAAAAATATTAATCTGTAGTGGACAATGGGTAAGGTTCACTGTCAATTTAGATCCCTAATCTAACAGAAAATTATCACCTGCTGGTGCGGTACATTCACTGGGCCCCAGTGCTCATAGGATCATTGCTTTTTGAGAAAGTCAGTCTGCTGTGTATGCTGCAGTCTTCAGAAGGTCCTTGTGTTCTCATGTTTGCTTTCCTTTTCCTCCACAGGCCTGTCTACCAGCCTGTTCACGGGAGACAGTGCAGGAGGTTCCCCCGCCCTGCCACGTAAGCAGAGGGACAAGTCTCCCAGCAGCCTCCTGGAAGACTCCAGGGAGACCACCTTCACTCGGGACCGCAAGGCGGGCTTCTTCAGCTCCTTCATGAAGAAGAAGCCCTCTCCGCAGCAGAGCCTGCCCACGCCGCCCAAGAGGAGCAGCTCATTCCGCGAGATGGAGAATCAGCCGCACAAAAAGTACGAGCCCACCTCCAGCTTTGGCAGCTTCAACGCTCCTCTGCCGCAGGTGGACGGACTCAACTTCTCACCCTCCCACGGTGGGGAGAGCAACCATGTGCAGTCCCGGTGCTGTGGGGCCAGCTTCGGCCAAAAGCCCTCTGCCAACCCCAGTGCCGGGGCGGGGGGAGCCGCCGCCACCGCGGCCCCCCCAGGGGGCAGCAGTTGGGCGGGCATAGCTGGGTTCTTCACCCCCCGGCTGATCAAAAAGACCTTGGGACTGAGGGCTGGGAAGCCTACAGGATCAGACGAAGTAGCTGGTCATACAGCCAAGCCTTTTCCCCGGTCCAACTCTACTTCTTCCATGTCCTCAGGGCTGCCTGACTTGGAGCGAATGGCCCTCACGCTACCCAGAAATGCGCATCGTTCCAAAGCTCCACTAGAAAGGACATCGTCCACCACCTCACAGCCTGAGGAAGGCACAGGGCGATCATCTGAAGCTCTGCTCCGCAAAATGGACGAGGGCACTGCCCAGATCCGCGATAGACCCAAAGCCAAGCTACTACCCCGTGGGGCTGGCAGCGGGGCCCAGAGGGTGCCAGGCGTTGGGGGCGAATCGGATACCGATTCACACTGCAGGTCCAAAGAGGGGCCCCTTGAGGCGGGTCAGGACAGGCAGGGCTGGTCTTCCCCTTCCAAAGCTGCAGGAACAGCTCCAGCTGCAGCTCACAATCACAAGGTTCCAGTACTGATCTCGCCCACACTGAAACACGCTCCGGCCGATGTGCACCTTATTGGCATCGACTCTCAGGGGAACAGGTTTAAGCTCCTCTCGGAGCACCAGGGAGACAGGGACCGGCCCAGGCTGGTGAAACCCAAGTGCGCCCCTCCACCCCCGCCCACTCTGCGCCTCCTGCAGCACCCCTCCACTGCGCTCTACAGTGGGGATGGCGCTGAGGAGCCGGTGGTGAGTGGCGGCGTGACCGAGGTGAACGGCGATGGGCTGAAGAAATCTGGGAAAACCACCGGAGGGAGACCGTCTGTGCCCCCACCGCAAGTGCCTCCATCCTCGTCGCTGTCGGGTTCTTCCTCCTCCTCCTCCTCCAGTGCCACTCCCACGAAGTTGGTGAACGGGGCCACCAGCATCCCCACAGGCGCTGGGGGTGGCGCCAAATTGGCCCTCCGCAGAACGCGGCAGCAGGCAGAGAAGGTGCCTCTGGAGAAGATCAGCAAGGAGGCCCTGCTGGAGTGCGCGGAGTCTCTGAGCAGCGCCTTGCACGGGAGCCCAGAGCCCTCCTCCAGCAGCCAGGTGCTCGATGCGGGTCACCAACTCTTGGACTACTGCTCGGGCTACGTGGACTGTATACCGCAAATGCGCAACAAGTTTGCCTTCAGGGAGGCAGTGGGAAAACTGGAACTTAGTCTGCAGGAGCTACGGGCATCCTCGGGCAGCAGTGCCGGAGCTAGCCCGGCCCTGGGCAACCTACAGACCTGCATAAAGGAGATCAGCGATGTGGTGCAGAGGTAGCCACCACAACCCTCCACTGTCCCCTTGTACTTCGGGGACAAAGATATCTCAGAGTACCTCACTACATTGATCACATTGTTTACAGTCTTTGAAAGTCAGTGGGAACACTGTTGCTGATCATCCCATGTGTAGGACTGGAAAAGTTCTTTGCCCTTGCAAATTGACTTGTCATTTTCCTTGTTGGCCAGGAGTGCTCTGCTAGAGCACCAATTTGCTTCAGCCCATCACGATTGGGTTTATCTGGGGCCAGAGTGAGAGACTACAGGCAAAGTGGATAAAAATGAACGCAAACATGTAATCAGAGAAAGGAGACCGAGGTGCTGGCAAAGTGGATCATCTTATGTGACACATAGTTAAGAACTACAGAACAAAAGTGCTTCCCCGTGACCTTAGAAATTAATCAGAGTTTCTGGCATAGGATAGCCAAGCCACCTAAGTCAGATTTGTGAACGCACTTGTCATTGTTGGGACTTCTCTTTTTTTTTAACTTTTTTTTTTTTAAAGACAGAAATGACATCTTCATTTCCTGGACAGGAAATCTTCATTAAAAAAAATCAAATTATACTTCCTGCAACTCCCACAAAATATTGTAATCATTTGTTAGTGTTTGCACTTGTGAAGACTGAAGGCTCTAGATTCATGTCATGATTCTTGTGTGGCACTATTGGTGCAGTTCTTCACGCGTTTGCATCCAGGCTAAGGTTCTCCCAGGCACACATTGCACGAGGCTGTCCGGAAGAGTCATCCGTGCAACAGCAGAACATTGTAAGGTTTTAAGGCACAGCACCCTTGTTGTTCAGATGTTACTACACGAGGTACATGCAGCTGGAAGACATCATTTCAGAACCTCCTGAATGAGGTCGGAGCTCTTTGTATAGCAAAATGTCCCTGCAGTACAGCCAAATTTTCATTTGGATTTAAACAATATTGTAAAAAAGCAGCATTACCTTTGTTGCCATCCTTTTAATCTTGCCAAGTTTCCCATTTAATTTCCCATCTGTTTTTACAGATGAAATTGAACATTTTATTTCCAGGTTTTTTTAAGCACCAGTACAACACATGGTGGAAAAACAGGGTGCTGTTTCTTAAACTGCAGAACACAGCAGTCTCTGTGCGGTATAACGGTATTTTTGTTGATATCGCAGAAATGTTAAATGTTCAGAACATACAAAACTGTTTTGGTCCAGCTGATTTGCATTGTGGAGTTTTGCTAAGGTGACTGATCTCCGTTATCTTTAATCAGCAAACGATATGTCATAGAGCAGGTCTGACCGCAATGATTCGACCTGGTGCGAACTGGAAGTGGTTTGTTATGCTGAAACATCAATGGACAAGTGTGTGTAGGCTCTTCCCTGTAATTCTAGTCCTTTATTTTTATTTTTTTTTTAACTATTGCAGTGGCCTGCTGTGTGAAACATGAGCAGCCTGAAGTAGAACTAATGATGACACCAAGCACAAAATGGATGGTGCACAAACACACCTACTTCTGGTGAACTATGGGGAATACTTTAGGCAAGCGTGGAGGAAAAGTACTGGTAAAAAACTTTCAGGCAAAATCCATTCCCTTTTATAGTTAGTTTGGGGTGCTGAATTTAATACAACAGGGCTTTGCATAGGAATGTTCCCCAGTAAACTTACTCTAACCCCATGCGATCTGACATATTTGTAAGAGCTGAAAAAGAGGAAGCAAAGTGAGTACGAAGCAGGCAAAAAATGTCATCCTTTGTCTCTCCTCTGTGAACTTGGCATAGCTTCCCAATTTGACTGTCGTTTAGCTCAGCTTAGCTTTTAACGGCTCCTTGTATGAGTGGTTGGACTGCATTAAACTTCTATAAGTCTAATACAGAGCAACATCATATGCTGACTACTGCACCCTAGTGTTATAAGGAAAGGACTTATTTCAATGGCAAACGCTTCAGTGGTATTAAGTAAACAACAGTGCTGCTGCTGTGGATCCTGACCAAAGGGGGACAGGGGTGTCTGCACCTACATTAAGAAGTGAATCTTTTGTAACTGTTTTGAACTGGAAAAGGAACTGATAAGGGGGAAAAAAGATCATACTTCATCTTGTGACCTTTTTTTCCTTTTCACATTTAATTACTGTATTCTTTTGTTTCTTAACAAAAACATATCTGTCGATAGAATGTTCTACTTTTGTTTTGATGTATAGAAAAGTCGATAGTGACTTAATCTCAAACATATTACAGATTCACTCCTAATATGTAGTCGGTTTAATGATTTAATGCGGACTTCTTATTTAGTGAACAAAATCCAGACCAAGTTTATACAATTAAATACAAGTAAATAAGAAAGTGTGTTGGCAGACTGCAGACTTTCAGAAAAAGTGTGCTTCAGAAACTGGCCTTTTTCATTGTTTCAGATCAAATCTCAATAACAGTTAGATAAATGTTCTCACTATTTCCTATTTCCGTGTTAGAATTACTTATATGTGGCACATTTGTCCCAGTCTTTCAGGGACACTTTTTTATTTAATATCTGTTAATAAGATTTTGTCCAGTTCATAGTTCAAAGATTTATTAGGCTATAAAAGACCAGATTCGGTTGATTTTAACCCAGTATGGGAAACTCATAATTTGTCTAGAAATCAGACACCATTGATCCAGGGTGATCACAAGACTGACGTTTCCCATCTCTGTCATTTTCTATTTGCTTTGAAGACGACAGATGCTTTTCAGTCAAATGTGTTGTCTTTCCATTTTTATTTGCCAGTAACTGGTGTGACCTATCATAAAACAGTCAAAACAGACATCATCTTATCTGTAGTTTATTGAAAAATATTTTAATTTTTATTTTAATTTGCTTGTTGACGGTAAAAACCCATTTCTCAAATCGAACTTGATTACTTTCTTTAACAAAAGCAAACTGACTTTTCTGCCTGAAGTCAAATTAAGATGGAAAGTAGAGGTGAAAATCTTTTTTTTTTCTGAGAAATTAATGCTTTGGTATGATCTTTCTGTGGGAGTTGTTTTGCTTTACATTTGTATCTTTAAATGCCTTTGCCGATAGCTGATATAGAGTGGAAATCCCCCCACTTTCCTCACCTTAACCTCGAATCAGTCCTAAAGCATTTTATTCTCGCGCACATTATTGTACTTGAAGACAGCTGCCTGTTAAAGGAAAAGAAAAACATGAGCCCTGCAAGTACTGGAACAAAATCATCCATTCTACTTAAGCCCTCCATTTTTTTTATTTTTATATGAATTCTTCCCATTAATACATTGAAAATGTATTTCCAAAAGCACCATACGATCACACTGTTCGACTTCATTGTGACTTGCACTGTAGTCTTTTCGGGGTTCCATCAATAGTTGATGGAGTAGGGGGAAAGGACAAAGGGTCGGGCTTCCATCCCATATTTGGGGGGCACCCATGGCGATTACAGTTTTTTGGTGACCAAAATCAACCTCAGCTGCAAACCTCTGTTGTTCCTCCAGGCCATTATGGGTTTCACTGTAAGACCTCAAGAAACAAAGGCCATTGAGTGACTCTAAACTTGCCTTTGCCCAGTGATTTGTGGTGCCTTTTGTAAAAGACATTTATTGCATTGTGCACTACTGTGTTGGATAAAACTGTAGCCAGGTTTTGTACAAACCAGTTTGATCTTTTTGTTTTCCAGCAGTTCCTAGTTTCATAATGAAACAGATTGTCCAGTGACTGTGTTCTGCACATATTCAGTCACCTGTCAGATATTTTGTTCTTTGATTGTTTGTCTTAAGTGTTGCAGACGTCTACCTGAGTGTATATGTAGCCCAACCTTGCTGTTGAAAACCATTAGAGTCAAGTGACTTGAAATCAAATCATTCAGATCATCTGTCTGGTGGGATAACTGATGTGCAAACAGAATACTTTATTATACTTTTAACAGTTTGTTTGTACAGACAACACACTTTTAAAACAACTTTGCACTCAATGAAATATTTCTGTATGTATTTTTGACATTTCTGCACCCCTGATGTAGAAAATTGCTCTTAGGAATGGTTGTCTAAAAGTGAGATTAGCAAAGAATGTTAGAGCTTTCACACATGGCCTTCGACTCCTTCTTTTTTAGAAAAAGAAAAATGTGGCTTCCAATCCAATTTCAGAAGGGAAACACGCACAGAGATCAGTTTTCAAAGAGCATGTCATAATCTTACAAGTCAATTTTTGTTTGATTAATTACCGGTTTTCTTTCAATAATCAGTCCGCAAAATCAAATCCGCATTTGAGGGAGGCCAGAAAACAAACGGAAAACAGAAGACTTTCCCTTGTTTGGTCGGTTTCACTTATTCAGCCTCTTGATCAGAATGCTTGTTCCAAGCAAAATCAATTGGATCGCAAATTGAGGTTTCTGTAGGGTGTAGTTGAAAATGGAAGTTTCATTTTCTCTGTGTTTTCGGAATTCCATCATTTTTATCAATATTTCTGAATTTTGCATGGCTTAGTTTTCCCTCAGTATCAATCTCCCTGGTAATTTAAACAAATAGTGCCATTTTGAAAATCTAAATCTAAATAAAAGTGCTATAGGCATGTACCAACCATGAGCATATTATCCATGCAAACAGGTTTCCTAAGATCTTCACATTTTATGGATTTATTTATTTTTTCCTGTATGTAATATGAAATTGCATCATGTGCAACTCTTCCTGTCTTGTATGTTGTTTTAAACAGTGCTGAAGAAACACTACATAAGCATTTTATACCAAAGGCCACTTTTTTCTTCAGTTCTACTAGTGCAATGAAAACTAAACACTTCTTAATTGTAAATATGTGAATTTTAACAGGGATTTAAATGAATGGCAGATGTTAACAAAATTAACACTATCAGTATTTTTTGTTTTTTTTATTGTAAAATATATATTTTTTGTGTTTCTAATTTAAATCTCACATTTGAATATTGTATTACTGTGAAGTTCTCTTTATCAGTGTTAAACTTGATGTAAATAAAAAATACCAGGGTCCTCTATGTTACTGGCCAGATTTGCCAACTTGCATTTTTTTGTTTTGTTTTAAATAAAATAAAAACTGAAAATCACTTCCCTGTAATTGTAATCCCTCCTAGCACTGTGGCTTTTATTTTCTTTGGTTCTGGTTTATCCAGCCCTAGTTTCCTAGCATATTAGTTTCCAGTACTTCACTTTACAAAACACATAAATGTACCCCTTCAACCCAAGTAAGTGCTTCTGTGTAGCTTTAGCAGCCATTGTTTGTCATGTTACGCAGTCTGTTTTTACATTAACTATAATTTTTAGGTCATAAAATCTGTTTTGCTTAATGTGATCAAACTAAAAATGAACAAACACTTTCTGGTTTGCAATGGCTGGATAGAGGAACTGGCACACAAACATGTGTGTTTCAGACCTTGAAAGATGGAATTTGTCTACAATGTGCGTTTCGAGGGGTCTGGATAAGATGCGTCACTTTGTGTTGGCCCAAATAGTAATTTATGTTCTCATTGTTTTTGTTCAAATTATTTATCCCACTTGTGTTTCATGCTTATGCGTTTCTACTTCTCTCACAACAGATGCAGTGATCTCAGTGGTTAAATAAAGCATTAATAGTGATTATCCTTGAGGCGACAGTGGTGAGACAATACATTCTAAGTGCAAGACAATGCACTTGGAATGAGACAATACATTCTAAGTTCCCGTACCCCAGACGCTAGAGAACAAGTAGTGGTGTGACTCATGTGGCCTGTGAATTAGAGTAAAGGACAGTTTGCAATGTGGCCAGTGCTGGTTCACTGAGTTCACTACTATACATGCTTAGTTGAGTGGCCGGTGACTTCTGTGTTTTGTGTCATTGCTGTCAGAACCATAAGTCTATTGAAATTCTTTGTAAAACCTTGGCTTTAAATTCCAAAGTGCTATTACCTCAGCATCCTGTATCTAGTACAGTATGTCCTAATAATTCTGTAGGTCACCAAGGAGTTGAGTTGTGGGGTTCTAATTAGTTTAGTTATGATTATATTTTGCTGCTGAGGATGTCTTGACTTAAGATTCATCATTTTTCATGACATCCTGTGATGGATGTAAGAAAGTGGGGGGCATGATTGTCCAGGGCTCAAAAGTGCTGGAGGGCACCAAAGATAACTATTTTAAAGTACCTTAACATTTAAGTATGCAAACTAGAAAAAACAGGTTTTGCCATCTGTCAACACATGAGAGGAAGGGATGAGTGACATGGGCTAAAATGTGGGATTTACAGTAAATGTCAAAAATGTGAAATCGCTTACAGGCTATACTGCATATTTTTAAGAGGTCCAGTATATGGCGAGACTGCATGCTGCAGCAAAGCCTAAGAAAAAGAAAAGCAAAAGTGAAATAGCACTTAAGCAAATATCCAAAATATCACTTTTTTAAAAAATGTTTCCAAGAATTGCAGCCATATCTACAAATGAAAGCGGTTTTGCTGTCAATGATGAGAGCAACAGTGATACTGCTCAAAAACGGAAAATGAATGGAGAGCCTTTAATTTTCCTTCTGTCCATTCTCTACCTTATTTTGGTAGTCCAGCTTTATCTTAATGTGATGGGGGGACAAAAATACTGTATGCAGAGTGGATTCGGTGTGTCTTGCCTAGCAGAGAGACCAAACTCCCTCTTTCACCATTGTGATGATTGAGGGTAAGAGAGAAATACACAAAGTGAAGTCCTGGGTGTGAGATTATATGATAGATGTGATATGTATGGTATGATAGGTATGTGATAGATGATCAAACTACTGTTATAAACTCCCATCTTTTTATAACCCACACTAGGAATCATCTTCAGCCTGGTTGAGTTGTTCCTGACTGTTCTTCCTAAGGTATTGTGACTTTTCCTCTAGTTTGTGAGCAGTGGGTGTCTGGTTCACCATGGCAGATCTAGTACATGTGTTCCCAGCTGTTCCATCAGCACTGAACAGTCCGAGAGTGAGGCAAGACTACGTGCCTGCCAGCAGCTAACCTTTCCTGTAACGTAAACAAAATCTCATTGCCGTAGAAAAGCTTGAGAAACTGGGGGAAAGGTCCGACTATAACTGGGGAATGACAGGTCAGTGGCATCAAAGCCAAGTCTGATATTTTGGGCTTATAATCAGAGCAGGGGTTTGTTTGTTGTCTAGGAAAGCAGCCAGTAATTACACATTGCTGCACTATACTGTGGTCCCCTGTCGCAGGAGGCCACCCAAAAGCCATTTGAGTCAGCAGTTACATAGTTACACAGTTGTATAGTTCGTTTTCCTATATGTGCATATCAACATCATTTCATTCAGTGCTTAACAATAACTTGCAGGATGTTTCACTCACCCATCCATTTTCTAATCACTTCTTCCAATTCAGGGTCATGGGGTACCAGAGCCCAGCAAGCCAGACACAAACACACAAACATACACCCAGAGGAACCCCACGCAGACACAGGGAGAACATACGGTACAAACTGCACATCGATATAGCACCCCAAACCGAGAGCCCCAGCACTGTGAGGGAGCAATCTCCTGCGCTACCATGCCACCTGCTTATACATTCATCAGCCAACATATTAGGAGCTCCAACTGAGAAACAAGTCTGGGTTTCTGAGGGAAGGAAGGACGGCTGCAGCCTGCAGCCTGCAGCTGTAGGACAAAAAATATTTGCAGCTCAATTCCATTCTTCTCCTAGCAGTACTGCCTTCTCCTAGGGGTGTGGTGAGGCTGAGGGTGTGAACCGTGTGGCTCACTGGTATAATCAGTTTCCATCGGGCTCGAGACTGGGGATGGTGACAGAAATCTGACGCCTATTCATTTGACACAAGAAATGTATTCATTTGATTCTGGGTTTCTAGCATTTGGCAGGCGATCTTAGCAGCGCCAGGCTGGATTCATATTCTACAGCAGGTGTCCCCCAGTTCACCTTTGGCTTTGTATGTCACCACTTTCTGAAGATGTGGAATTTATTTGTGATTGACGCATGTAGGTGATTAAAATAATGTGTGACTGGAATCTAACCTTGATATTTGATTTTGATCTTTTTGAGCCTTTTGATCTCGGGCCCCAGAGTAATCCTAAAAATGTTACTTGCTTAATTCATCAATAACTTTCAAGTGTTGCCAGTCTTTAGAAACTTGTAAGACTGACTGAATGGAGACATTCGAGGACCAAGGATTGAGACTGTTCACTACCCAGTTCAATCATATGCATTCAGAGAGGCGAAGTTCAATTATTGTCAGGCTTTTGTCCTTATGAATCGGCCATAATGGAAAGACTGTACACTTATCTCTTGTGACTCCCTACAGCCTTGCAAAACTGTTTTTCAAAAGGTTTCATGGTCTTCTTAAAAGTTCAGTAGGTGAGTGTTTCATGCATTTTAAAAAGAAAATTTGGAACGACTGCAGAGAGATAACAGAGGGCAAACAAGCTGAAGCTGTGCCACGATGCCAAGTTGGCAGTTATTTGAATTCTGATTACTGTATGAGCCAGGCAGTGTGGTTGTGAAAGCTGTGAGTTGTGAAAGCATCAGGGAGGGTCATTACTCAATAGCAGGAGAGAAACTAACTGGGTAGGGGGTAGCTGCAGAGGTGAACAGCAACTATTTAGCGTGATGAAGTCCAGCAAAAGTGTCTGGTCACAAAGTATTCCCAGTAGACAGATTCAGCCATTCACACTCAATAATCTTGTGTAAAGTTTTGACCCTTTAAAATAATTACTGCATTTAAAAAAAAAAGAAATGTTATGTTTGAATGTTACGGAAAAGTAAACCATATCTTAAAAGTTCTTGGACTCTCTGAAAACATTAATAAAGCAAATAGTACTTGAAATCAATAGGTTTTAAGTGTGAGCTTTATAAAAGAAAATGCCTGTATTAATAGCATGTTCAACAGTGCGAGTACCCTGTGCACTGCTGTCCAATGCGTGAACCCTTTTATCTAATATGGGAACAGTGCTGTTTACGTCTGCTCAGAAATCAAGCAGTTGCTGCTCAATGACGAAGGCGTGCATGTCAAAACTACGTTTACAAACGCCTTTCATTACAATCACAAACTACCTCTGTCTCAAATGGATTTCTCCTAATAGATAATTGAAACTGAGTTATCTATGTTGCAGACAATATTTACAAGCCCCTTTAATTTCTGTGATTTTGTTCATAAACAAAATGGTTTGCTTTTGCTTTAACTATTTCACTAGGAAATGTTTATGCTAAAGTCTGCTGTTTCAGGGAGCTCATTTAAATGTGGCAGGGCTTTGTACCTTCACATAAAAGAGAAATATATACAATTAACTTTTATAATTTCTGTAGTATCCATCCATCTTCTAACTGATTCTTTCAATTGAAGCTCAGCCAGAGGCTATCCTGCCAAGCAAGGAGGGCACAGGACACCAGTCTATCATAGTGCACACAGACACGTGCACACACGCACGCACACACACTACTAGGGCCAATTAACCTACCAATATGTTTTTGGACAATGGGAGGAAACCAGAGCACCCAGTGGAAATTGTATGTAGAAAACACCCCAGGTGTGGAATTTAAACCAGGGCCCCAGCACTGCAAGTCAGCAATACTAACCCCTGCACCAGTTTACTACCAACTCCTATACTAATATGTAGTAAAAATGTAGGTTTTAAATGCAAAATAATATTCTTTATTTCTTGTTTTAAATAACACTGCAACTTCATAATACTTCCTCAAACTGCTTCAGTCTACACCATCACAAGGCAAGGTCATTTTCAGCCTTTTCAGAGGACTGTTTGACCAATCTCAATTTGTTTTAATCTCCGTGAGGAGTAATACATCATATTTACTTCATTCACCCACAATTCCTGTAAAAAATGAATTTGTTTTTAAAACCGGTTTCCCAGTCTTGTGTTTTTCTTTTTTTTAACTATTTTCCGTCTATGCAAATGAAAATGCAGGGGATGTCTATTAAACTACACATGATATGACTCTAGTAGGATTTTATTAAATGAAGATGATAGAAATACTTTGAGCAGATAAGTAAACTGGAAGGGTGGTGTCAGTCAAGCATGCTTCATATGAGTTTAAAGACCAAAGGACTGGCTACGTCTGGCAGTAATAAGTTAGATTTTTCTGCTGCAAAAGATTTTCAAAAACAGTAACAGAGATTTAAACTGCAGAGGGTATCAATTGCATTTTTAAGAAGGCTAGACAGCGGGGGGGGGGGTTAATCAGAAAGCAGAAAGGGCTTGGTGTAAGTCAAAATGTGAGAGAGGGTTTATAGAAAGCATCCTTACTTTTGGTATCAGTAGTAGTCTGGGCATTAAGAAGAAGTGGGGAAAACTGGCTGACCACAGAGACTGTTTAAAAAGCTATATTATATTGCAGTTCAAAGCAAAGCTCATCTTATTGTTGATGACCCCTCCAACCCTCTTCATCCCCATTTGCAACCTTCAGGGAGGCCTTTTGCCAATAAAAATGAATACCAGAAATCCTTTGTTCCCTGTGCAAAAGGGATATTAAATGCAGCTAAGTGAGAGATGTGTCATCCCTGACAGTAGGAGATTGTTTACATAAAGACATATTTTGCTCACTCTTCTTTAAGCCCTTTGTGGTGATGCATCTTTATCGGTGGAGACGATGCTAAACAAATTCTGAGATCTGAGCACTTTTACCATAACCTCCCCGGATTTAAATTCCACCCCTTTTAGCGTGTAGTCATTCTATTCTTTTATAACTGTACCCTTACAAAGACACACTGAAGACTTACTTAAACACCCATTTTTTTATACTTAAGCAATTTCCAACTGGTACAACACATTAAAAATACCATCTCTCTTCCAGTAATACTTTATTTATGCAGTATACGGGATAAATTCCAGGTTATGCATAGTCCTTCAAACTGTATAAAAAAAAACAAATGTCCTGTCACACACAACAATGGTACACGTTCTCAGCTCAAGAGTACAGCAGCAAAGGAGGTCATTTGCAGACAGAGACAAAAGACAATGTAAAAGAGGTTAATCTGAAGGTGAGGTTCGTGAGACTCATAGGTGGAGGGTTCCTATTTACAGCAACAGCTAAAAAAAAAGTCTCGTACTCATTTCATGGAGTACCTAGAGCATTCTGGGTTTTGATTCATACTGAGCAATCAATTAACAAGTATTTTCTTAGATTTGTATGGAACTTTTCTTAAATTATTTTACAGTTGATCAAACATTCAACATTAAAGCTATAGTTAACAACAACAAAAAAAGCCATCAGAGCCTGGATGAATCAATTAAACTAATTAATAATGAAACCCACTATACAGCTGAGAGTTTGGGTGGAACACAAATCAGAAGTATGGACCTCAAGAACATAAGTCTGAGACTCCTGCTGTACTGAAATAAAAACAAAACTCCTTTAGGAGAAGTAAGGAGACATTTCTTATATGCTTATCAAAATAATGAACACAGGATGTAAGTGCTGTACGTTTTGTAGCAGAAAACTCTTTAAAAGTTTAAATAGTAGGTCAGCCATAAAAAGCAGATGTTTACAGCTTACTGTTTCTGCCTTTTTTCAGTGTATTGTATTTGTCACTATACATTTTAATCAAAAACAGTCCAAGACAACATGAACATTCCTATGTTCCTATTAATATTCAGGTGTCAAACATTTGCACACGTATTAATGGCTAACTGAAGCCTTCGGAGGTCAAACAAAAATGAAGACAGACTTCAGTAACATACTTTAAATACAGTAAACAAACTGAGCACATCAATTTCAAGTATTATTTGGATGGGAAGGGGATGGGATGGGAACCACAAAGTACTACAGATAAAAAGGTACAGAGGACAGAGGAGAAAATAGAACTTATCCTGCTATTGTCATGTTAGCTGTGTAATAGAACTCAACATTATACCACTGGCTAGAATCTGAAAACATGATATATATACACGTGAGCTGTAACAAAGTCACAAATAAATGGGAGACATCCACAAAAATATCTTAAGTATAACGTGCCTTATTATGCCAGCAAGGTTTAATCAGATCAGATCCCAGTTAGTTTGAAGTTTAGTGAGAGCTTCATTTACTCAAAATCAATAGCTTGCAAGTAAAGACAAAAGCAGCTCTGGTGGTTCTGGATAGTTATTGGAGCTGTGGGTTCTGTGCTAAGAATTAACACTATTTCCAGGGTGAGGCAGATTCACAATAATCGAGCAAGAATTGCACCAAGCCAGTGTACAAATGTGGTAGAGCATTCCTCAAACTTATTTGTGGCTGTACCTTCTGCCAAAGGTGTTTCGATCAGATATTGATTTTGCAGGTCTATATACATGTGCAATCACTATTTCATTTTGTTTCCTCTTTAGTTTTGCAGATATTTACTGTACTTTCATTATACTTAGAAGGCTTAATAACATTAAGTTTTAAAAAACACATGAATTAATAATAATTTCACCAAATGCAACACCATAGACAGGGTCTGAATACTTTTGCAAGGCACTGTACATTAGTCTCTTTGTAATACTCAGGCTTCAGCTCATTCCTTTTTATGCCTGGTATGCAACTGAAAACACCTTTTCTAGAGAAGTTTAACAGGTGCGTATGGCTTTGTTGGCTTTTTTTTTTAGTTCAACTGATCCTTTTCAAAGCACAGTTGTCAAGAATATAAGCAATCACACTCATTCTCACAAACACTCCTTCACTGGCTGCAGAGTCAATGAATGGACGTTGCAGGAGCATGATCATATGAAAGTACAGTAATGGCTCATTGTTGCTGCAGGATGTTTCCAGTCTAAGACCAGTAGATGCTGCCAATGCACACTCTGTTTTGATGGAACGCCTAATTGTAGTCATTATAGTAAAGTGCATAGAGGACTTCTAGACTGCAAAGTACAAAGTACTAAGAGCACAATTTATTGCACATCCAAGACTACAAGCAGTTGTATTGCCCAGAATTTTACCATGGCTACAAACATGGTTTTCCAAAACAAATATAGTATAAAAAACATATACAACACAAGATGACGATCTTGACCATAAAACCTTTTGCACTTGATTATTGATAGAAACCATGACAAATCAGAATAGGCCCCTGAGACATTTCTTGAAGCTGTTAATTTGGAGTACCCTAAATCTAAATTGTGTCATAGCTGCAGCAGGGTGTCCCACAGATCAATTAGTGTGGGACACACATGCAGAATCACACATCAGACCTGTCAATTTGAGCATCCAAGAACCAAACAGCTCATTTACCTATACAAGTACTGTATGAGTAATGAATGGACCTACATGCTGTCTGTCTTAAGAGACATACACAGTATCTAAATTTTACTCTGAGAAATTAAGTCATCATAACTAATGCATTCTATTAACTCACGCCAAATTGTGTCTGGGGAATATAATGTAACTAAAGCACAGCTGCAAGCAGAATATCAAATTCTGTGGACTCCTGTAGCGTTTTAAAAATACAACCAAATGCCATTGGTATCCAGAAAACGGTATGGTTTGTTGCACATTGGTTATTCTATGGTAAAAAAATGTCCTTATGATCATGGTTGTAACATTAAAAAAGTGCAAAGTAACAGGTTATCAAAATAGAGTTATTATGCATGGCCAGGTTTTTAGCATTTTAGCCAAGTGTCTTAGTTTGAAAAAAGTAAGAATTCTCTAAACAAATGAGATTGTAAAGACCTGTTAAGAACACAGGTCCAGTTCTGTAAAAACACTAACCCCGCGTGTTAAAAACTGGTAGCAAATCAAGTTGCTAAGGCCCTGATCCAGTAACACACTTACCAAAGCAAGAGTGCTATATAAAGCAAAAAAAAAGAAAAGAAAAACACCTAATAAATAAAATAGATCAAGAAATCATTTGACAGAACTTTCAAAGCACTAATATTACATTCCACCAAGATAAAAATAATCTAATTTGTGAATATTTAAAGGACGCTCTCTGCCCCAAAATAACTTTCACCTCATCGATGCCCAGCAAGCACTCCACTTGTTTCCTAAATAACCTAGACTGGCTTGAACTTTGATTCTCCTTAGAGTCCCTAATGCAGCCTGACATGGATTGGATGGACCTGTTTCTTATTGTAACGTGACTTCGCCTTGAGATGAAGATCCAGATGACAAGCTGCAATATAAAGTAGAAGAGAGACTTGGCAGAACCGTTGAATCCTCCCCGATTTAGACCTCTTTGGTCTGGATGAACGAGAGCAAGAATAATAATAATAATAATAATTGCTTACACTTATATAGCGCTTTTCTGGACACTCCACTCAAAGCGCTTTACAGGTAATGGGGACACCCCTCCACCACCACCAATGTGCAGCCCCACCTGGATGATGCGACGGCAGCCATAGTGCGCCAGAACGCTCACCACACATCAGCTATCAGTGGGGAGGAGAGCAGAGTAATGTAGCCAATTCATAGAGGGGGATTATTAGGAGGCCATGATTAGTAAGGGCCAATTGGAAATTTGGCCAGGACACCGGGGTTACACCCCTACTCTTTTCGAGAAGCGCCCTGGGATTTTTAATGACCACAGAGAGTCAGGACCTCGGTTTTACGTCTCATCCGAAGGACGGCGCCTGTTTACAGTATAGTGTCACTGTCACTATAATGGGGGCATTAGGACTCTCATAGACCGCAGGGTGAGCGCCCCCTGCTGGCCCCACTAACACCTCTTCAAGCAGCAACCTTAGTTTTTCCCAGGAGGTCTCCCATCCAGGTACTGACCAGGCTCACACCTGCTGAGCTTCAGTGGGTTGCCAGTTGTGAGTTGCAGGGTGATATGGCTGCTGGCTAATATATAAGAATAATGGTTTGGTTTGGGGGAGGTGTGGGGGAAGGCCTCTTTTCACCGGCTGGCCTCCTCCTCCCACCTTGGGGAGCTCTCGTAGGGGTTTCTCCAGGAGGACCGTTGCTTCCCCAGGTCTGCGGGAGTAGCCAAGTCCCTTCTCTCTCACTCTCTCACTCTCTCACGGGAGCATGCGTGGGGAGCAGCCCAGCAGCTGGGCTCAGGGCAGGAAGAAGTTGATCCGCTGGGGCACGGACTTGCAGCCCTGCGCGGAGAAGAGCTTCTCCTCCTTGGGGACGTACACCATGGCCCGGGCCACCTCGTCCAACGTCTCCTCCGTGTGCGGCAGCCCGCGGGAGCGGAAGGCGTCGCGGGCGCACAGCTTGACGTGCCGGTACTCCAGCGGCAGGAAGGGCACGAAGAAGTCCATGAGGTTGCCCATCATGAGCTGGCTCTGAAAGAAGCCCCCTGCGAGCAGAGAGGCGAAAGACCCGGTCACTCGGAAAGCACTTTGTTCCCTCACAGCAATAAGCAAATCTCTCTTAAGAAACAGATCACTACGCTTCCCCAAATATACATAAATATTAAACGTGAAAGGACATACTCCGTAGCATGCATCAATTGAGCATGGTGTCTGTGATGTACACAGGTGTAGCTCAAACTGAAGACTTCTGAGATACAACTGCAACTGCACATAATTGAAATTAATAATAATTATAATTGATAATAATTGCTGACACATATGTAGCACTTTTCTGGACACTCCACTCAAAGCGCTTTACAGGTAATGGGGACTCCCCTCCACCACCACCAATGTGCAGCATCCACCTGGATGATGCAACGGCAGCCATAGTGCGCCAGAACTCTCAACAGCAAGAGTAATTTGTAATTTGATACACCTTTGACACTTTCATCTTGCTGCAAGATCTGTTAACTCAAAGACTCAACTTCCAGGTGAAGATTTGCAAGAGCCGAGCCTTCCTGCTCTCAGTCTGGAATAAGAGTTAAGAAGCAGGACACCAGGGCTCTTCCCTGTCGCTGCAGGTACCTTGAGAGTCCAGGGCTTCAGTCCGTAGCCTGTGTTCCAGGTCCTCCATTCCAATGTCCTCCCGGTTCTGTCCGGAGTGCCAGAAGTCCAGAGTCACCTCATTGATGACCGCACCTCCAATATTACTGCAAGAACAAGAGCAAGCCTGTGTTTTAAGACATAAGCATATAAGCCACATTTTTTAATGTAAAGCCTGGGTGTGATTAAGAGAGACATCTGGATATACTACTCCTTTACCTGAACGTTTCCTACACCTCACACCTTCCTCACCTTTTGTGTTTTTGGAAACCTCTTGTGACAGAGCAGCAGTAGTTAGGCTAGTAGCTTCAGCTGACCAGCCACAAGAGGTAATTTAATCTCTGTTCTGTAAACAGGTTCACAGATGGTTTATTGATTAAATAGAGAACTGGTGAAGGACACAGAACCACATTCTCACATGGGTTTTAGACTAAGTTTGGTATGTAAAGGGATTAATGGCGATACCTGGTGTTGAGGTGTCAGAGTACAACTTTATTTTGTATATATTACTCTATGTTGTTGAATAAAATTTTGCATACTATTTTGCTTTCCATTGTGGTTTTTCTATGGTACTCCGTCCGGTCTTACGAGTCTGAAGGAAAACAGGACTGTTACTCTTTCCAAGCAAGCCAGGCAAGAATGCCTACATACGATAGGACAGCTAAGGTGCCCAGAGAGTAATGCCAAGCCATGTTCAGCCCTTGACTTGTGTGTGACATGACCCCCTGTCTCCTTGAATTACATTTGCAAATCCCTTAAAAATTCAAGTTGTCTTCATCTCTTAATGGTCATGGATTGCCTCAAAACTGCTGTTTAGAATTGTTTTTTTGTGCTTTTTTTAAAGTAGCAGTGCCCATAATAAGAAAAACAGGTTTTGAGGAGAGGAAAACAAAACATACTGTATAAAGAATAAAAATACAATACAGAAAAATAACAATAGATATATATTGGATCTCAAGGATGAAAGAGTTGAGGAGGGGATTTACCACATTCTGAATATTTACCTCTCCATTCCACTCTACTGCTTAAATAAGGCAGCTATGCAGCATCAAGGAGGAACAAGACTGTGCTTTATTTTATAAGCATAGGGCAGCCTACTTCTATTTTAATTAATATATAGCATCTGGAGATCAATATTGTTCTGCAAGCTCAAAGACCAGCTTTGCCACTTACCCAATCTATCCTGCTTAATTGATTTACTCCCTGTACTCCCTCCTTACATTGAGATAAAAGATCCCAGTCGCTGGTGTTGATGTAATGGGGTTCATTCGGTGCTTGAGCCTACTACACTAGCTTGGAATCCTTCCACTGCAGGAGGCTGGCCTTTGGGACTAGCAGAAAGGAGATGGTGCCGTGACAGAGATCCTAGAAATGAAGCCTGATTCCCAGCAGAGGACCACCTGCACTCACCACACTGACACACAGGTCAGAACCCTCTCTCAGGAGAGAATACCTTGCTACATGTTCCATCTGTATGATGGCCACCCTACCTGAGGAAGAGAAAGATGGATTTCCTGTAGTCCACCCCATCCACGTTTTCATAATGATCCATATAGGGCTTAATGGCATCTATGAGCCCAGGGTGCAGCTTCTCCGCCTCATCGAAAATGAAGAGTGCTTGCTCGCACCTCCGCACTGTGTCCCGAATCCAGTCCTTCAGCTGGCCCTGGGACAAGACACACACCAACACTCAGCCTGGCCTGCCCCCACACACTGAGACAGCTCCACACCCGCCCCTTGGCAAACACGCTGACACGTCCCGTTTCACGGACCGCTGCCATCCAGAATTCTGTCTAAAAGTCGTACGCAGTAGAGCACAGAGCCCTAAACCCGTAGAAAAGACTGAGTATAAAGTTTTAGACAGCATCATTTGAGCCGTGGAAAAATACATGTTATGTGTATTCATATTTTTCTACGCCTTTTCTATTATTGGTTCCATTTCACCTTTGTTTTATTCACTGGTGAAGCTGTAGCGTTCAAGCGCTTTGGGATCCGAGTTCGAATCGAGCTGGAATGCAGGCTCGAACTCATGCGATTCCTGTGCGTCTCTTGTCACGGAAAAAAGTCCTGCTGGACGGCCATCTGAAAACCGAATTACAACTGGCTGTGTTGACACTGTTCTGCTTCACAGACGTACAGCCAGATTACATAAGGCCAGGGCCAGGACGCTGCCCCAGCTGGAAGAAATTCACTCTGCCTGATCTTTCTGTTTAAATGTACAACTCTCACTCGTACTTTCCTTGAAAATCCTACTGTCCCCACACAGGAGAATGTAGTTATGCAGCATATAACTAAGGATCTATACATAATAGTGTTTATTTACTAGCAACATTTATTTATTAGAACACTCTTCTTATCTATAAACCGTGTGAAACCGTGTGAAAGAATGTGCTTCTTTCTCATTTTATATCATAAGCAACTAAAATAAAGTTGTCATGGCAATATTGGGTCATTCATCCTTCGTTAGGACATGGTTATCTGAAATCACTGTGAGACACAACATGGTTCAAGTACATTATAACTGGCTATCGTTAAGGGGCAGCAGTCCTGCAGTCAGGTGAGCTAACAGCTGGAGGCACTTGTTCACATGCAGTGGCTGGAACTGAATTCCTTTTACTGCAATACAATCCTCGCTTATTTCTTCACATTTCAACCCAAACGTAAAACATCTCCCTGTTGAACTAGTTGCTGTATTCCCAGACAAACACTGGGGAACACAAGTAAAAACATGTACTCTGAGATACACAGGAATACTCAGACTCCACGTAGCCTTCACTCTAGATAAGCTGAATGACCACATCTCGTCTAGTTACGTTCTCATGAGATGTCCTTACAAAGGAAATCTCTGCACACTGAAAATAAAATGGCGAAAATAATTCAATAACAGTGTCAGCTCAGGATAAGTTCAACATACAATGAGTACTGTCCCAGAAGGACGCCTCTCAGGTTAAGAACAGCATTGTCTGAGTACGCCACCCCGTGCACAATCCTGTTCAATTTAAATGGATTAGGAAGTGGCTGTTGGGCAACGCCTGCAAGTGTGTCGCCACGGTCACGCGTCTCACCCGGTACACGTCCAGCAGCTTGGCGTGGGAGAAGTGGAAGGGAGCGATGAACAGCCGCACGCACTCGCTCTTCACGCCATCCCGGTACAAGTTGTCTGTGATCAGCCGGGCCACGAAATTCTTCCCCGTGCCCGACCAGCCGTGGAAGGAGAGCGCCAGGGCCTTGTCCGGAGAGGGATTCTTCAGGAAGCCGGGCACGGCCTTCAGGACCACAGCCTGCACCAGGTGCTGTCCGTGGAGCTTCTGCTCCAGGTCCTTCTCCAGGCCTGCAGACAGATACACACGCGGATTAACACTGCACTGGAAGTTTCTTTTAACTGGGAAAAGGTTAGCCAGGCAGCCATATCACCCTGCAGCTCACAACTAGCAACCCACTGAAGCTCAACAGGTGTGTGCCTGGTCAATACCTGGATGGGAGACCTCCTGGGAAAAACTAAGGTTGCTGCTGGAAGAGGTGTTAGAAGGGCCAGTAGGGGGCGCTCACCCCACGATCTGTGTGGGTCCTAATGCCCCAAAACTGTCAAAAGGCACTGTCTTTTGGATTAAATGTAAAACAGAGGTCCTGACTCTCTGTGGTCATTAGAATCCCAGGGCGTTTCTTGAAAAGAGTAGTGGTGTTCTCCCAGCATCCTGGCCAAATTTCCTATTGGCCTTTACCAATCATGGCCTCCTAATAATCCCCATCTCTGAACTGGCTTCATCACTCTGTTCTCCTCCCCACTGACAGCTGATGTGTGGTGAGCGTTCTGGCGCACTATGGCTGCAGATTGGTGGAGGGGAGTCCCCATTATCTGTAAAGCGCTTTGAGTGGAGTGTCCAGATTCTATTGCTGAGTGGAAAAAGGATCTGCCATTTTTGCAGGAGTGAAGGTACCTGTGATGTTGTTGATAATCCTGCAGTCTCCTGTGTCACAGCAGTGGCCCAGATTGCAGTACCAGTCTGAGAGGGTCTGCGCATAGTCCTTGGAGAACACGGACCAGAAGTCCCCTGTGGGCACTGCAGGCACAGAAACCAGTGAAAGTCAGCACACAACAACACAGCCAAGCAGGTTGAGGCAAGCTCACTCTGATTTTTCAATTCACCAATTCCCAGAGCAGATTACCTAGGAACCAAGCCTGCATGACGATTTGCACAAGCACAAGGCCACCACTTGTTTATCAGCCTTTGGACGTTCTTACATTCTAGTTCAATAGCATCTTTAATCCCTGGTCAGGACACCAGTCTGTCATCACGGGGCACACACAAACACAGATACATTCCCACTAGGGCCACTTTTGTCAGAAGTCAATTAACCTACCAGTATGTCTTTGGACTGCGGGAGGAAACCAGAGAACCCACAGGAAACACGTGGAGAACACAAGAACTCCCCAGATCCATGATTGAACCCAAGGCCACAGCGCTGTGAGGTAGCAAAGCCAATGTCGCCCAACATACTTATCTTACGGCTAAAAATAATTAACGTGTCTGTTTCATGAATCGATAAGCATCTACCTTCAATTGCTGGATTTACACCAAATACAATATCTCGCATTATTTTCTCTCGGTTTTGTTTCGCGAAAGCCTGAAACGCCCCCTGCTGTTCCGTTAATTTTCGACGTAAATTCGAAAGCGGAACATTAAAACGTTCAATAACATTTTGTTAGAAATCAGAAAATAAATTGCACACGTTACTAAAATGCATTGCACGAATTTGCTTTATGAGTTGTGAATCACAGCGTTTCGATGATTTTCAACGATATAAGATAAGATATAAGATGCTGTTTGTTGATTCATTGTAACTCAATAAATGTAGTCGAGTGCTTCCAACAGTAACTCCACGTAATATCATTCAAACTATCTTAAAATACTTATTGTAAAACGATTAAATTAGCAAATAATTTTGTGATGAATGCGAGAACTTAGGTTCGAGTGTCTACACACATACACCGATAAACAGGAGTTTGGAAATGACTGAATCAGCCCATTGGTGAGGGAGAGAATTTTATATTTTAGAAGCATATACCAGGGTTCTTCTGATGCAAAAGAGTACAGGAAAACCCACGCTTGTGGTGACCTACCGACACTATATTATGTACAGGGCTATTTCTGCGTCGCTTCCAAAGAATAATTAAAACTCGAAATTTAAAGTTATTTCATTCCATGTTACAGCTAAGTACACGGACTCCCCAAACCAATGTCTACGAATGTGTCCCGGCCTTCATAAATGGTGTTGTAATTTGCATATTCAATTTAGCTTCATGCAAGATGAGCTACTACAATCTCTTATCTATTGGACTGCATAATTAAAGTCAGATTCTGGGGTACTGTACCTAGAAATGCAAGAGAAGTCGAGCAGGCTAATACAGAACGTAATTCTGTAAATTATTTCAGAAAAAAAAAGTTGCCAACAACAGTGCAAAAATATAAATTGCATTGATAGAGATCTATCAGTCGTGCGATCAGACCACTGCAGACAAGCCATCCGTCTCCCGGGGAACCCCAGCGCCTCTGCAGGGCGGACAGGCAGTCCGACCGCGCAGGACCACAGAGACCCGGAGGGCAGCCTTACCTTGCTGACTCGTATCATCCTGGTGCGGCTGACAGTCCCCCTCCCAGATGTTACAGTAGATGTAATTGAAATAATACTTGGACACGTTTGAAAGGCTCTCAAACTGGAAAAAATCTCCCTTTACAGGTACAGCCCAAATAAAGGGCAGCAATCGAAGCAAGATCATCTGACTATGAGCCCCTTTCCACCTCGTCTTGAAACTGTCGGCACCGCGGAGCTATTCGCGGACTTGATTATTCAACTCGATCCATTCATTAACCCGGAGACACAGTAACATACACTACCAGGGCCTGTGCAGACTCACTCACTTCATTTAGACTTCCCCCGAAATAAAAACCAGGCTTCCTTGGTCAAACGTCACATCCTGGTGACTCGGAATATTGATTTTGAACGCACAGGCGTATGTATTTTCCTGGGTTTGCAGCGCGGAGTCAAAGCCAATGTTGCACTTCAGGAATCAAACGAAATGTCCATCCAGGCACATGTATTTAGGGTTAAAGTAAATTTACAAAGAATAACGGTTTGCGTTTCTGCGTTTCACCACAGTGCGACCATTTTACGTTAGAATTTCTCTTTTTTAAAATAAGGTTCACACGCTTGGCCTCGCTCGCCCCGATTGCTGGCCATTTAGTAAATATGCGGTCGATTCACACACAAACATTTTACCATCACAACTAATAATAAAATTATGTAACACGCCAATTAAATTAATTTGGACATTTTGCATTACACTAACATATCCTTACACTGAAAGGTTTTCAAAGCGGTACTAGTAACATTGTACATCCGAGTCATTGGTACTTGAACAGTTAACCATTTTATCAAATATTCGCTCTCCTTCACACACATACAAAATACGCACAGTAAAGCTCAAAACCTTTAGAAACATGAGGTATATAAAATTAAAAATTTTATGCACAGAATTCACCGGCAAAATAGTATTTCCAAAATAATCTGCTTTTTTAAAAACAATATGGCTTTAATATTGATGTCACAATGTGGGACAGGCATTTTTAATGTGAGCTGTCGTAAACAAGAGGACTTGTGTGCAGTTTGCAATATGAAAAGGAATCTTTGTTACATTTGTTTGTTTACTGCAAATATACAAAACTGTTTTGGGTAGATTTGCAAAATATTAACATTTAAAGGTAAACGTTAAATTGAAAGATTTCATTTTATATTTTGTTAACCTGATTTTAGAAATTTAAAGAATTAAAAGGCAAGACATGCAATGGAAATATGTACAGCACAAAGTATCACTTGATAATTGTGAATCGCGTTGGCTGTGAAGTGTTTATTTCTGCATATATTTCAATATTGTTTCCTTTTCTGCATTTCTGGCGTTTAAAAAGTTAACTGTCGTACGAATATCTATATCTCGCAGAAATCTGTATCCCTTTCCAAAGTGCCTGTGGTTTGGAAATCTGAGGCATTACGTGCCTGCTTGTAGACGATTAGCGTTTTCTGTAGTAAAAGCTAGTTTAGTTTCCTGTAGCCCTCTTATTGCAAATTCTTAGATCTGTGAGGTAAAGAATCTTCTTAAATACCCCCCCTGGTGGACGAACATTATTTTTCATTGTATTCAATACAGAACGTCATTAGCGCGGAGACACTAGAACTAGCAATTTAGCTATAGAACAGGCTTGCAATAGCCACTACAAAATATAGTACAAACCCAGACAGAACTAACTGTACACGAATGTGTATAAGCGCAACCCCCCCTCTTAAATTTAAGACCCATTCTCGACCACTATCAAAAACACAGACGTAATAACGGAAGTGCTGGGGCTTGGATCAATACGTTTTACAATATAGCATTAATGAATGGCTAACCGGGAAGGGTGGGCAGGCCCATTTCAAGTGTTTGGAAGCAGAAGACCCCACACAGCACCTAAAAACCAGGTAGTTAAAGAGCACCACCCCGCCCTCTGCAGCAGGACGTTAATCTAACCTAACCTCCAGCTCTATTGGTACGACTGGTGAATAAGATCACTTATTGGTTCTATCTATACCTTTTAATCGGGATGGTCTTTCCACATAGCCCAAACTTGCTCTCCATGAGAGAGACAGGAGAAGCCTGGGGTCAGCCATTTATACTATGCCCCTGAAGCAGTTGGTTAAGGACCTTGCTCAGGGGCCCAACAGAGGATACGAACAGCAACCATTCAGCTACTGGCACAGATCCTTAGCCACAGGCCAACACACCATCACCAAACTATCTCAGAGCAGGCTACCACCTTGAGGTCCCCCCCCCCCCGCCAGTGGGTGGTGCAGGAATTCGTAGATCACACAAAATGAAAACTACCAAGAAAATATGGTTACCACACCTGTACAGTTGGAATTTCCATTTAACCACACTTGCCTAGAGAAGCATATACATTTCTGGATAAAATTGTGAATTTAGGTCAATTAAGAGCATACAACTTTCATGATTAAAACCGCCTCAGGCTGACATTGTATGCCAGTTTTAGAGAGGCCTGATTCACCTTTCCTTAAAGGATTAAGACAGACAACTGAGTCAAAGCAAACTTCAAACATTTATTGATACAAAAGTGACCGGTTAGAGGTTGGTTTGCTGGCAAATAAAGTTGCTAACAAAGAGAAGGATGGGGGAACAGCTCAAACAAGACACTAGAACCACATTTCAAATGTTCTTTTACAGGGTGACAGCTTTGCATTCTTGAAAATGTATTGTCCCAGTAGGTCAGTGATCTTCATGGTGCCCTCAAGTCCTGGAAGGAAAACAGACCATTAAGAAAACCCAGCACCTAAACTTTCCCTGCAACTCATGTTTGATTTTACAAGTGATAAATGGGATTAAATCAGACCTGATTGTCATCAATAGCTCAGTGAGAGAGTTCAAGAAGTCTCATCATTCATCCCAACATACGGGTGGTTAAAAATCAGTGAAAAGTGCCAAGTTCCAGTCTTACCTTGCTTCTTCGTAGGAGGGATACATTTGTGTGCCATGTTCACCTATTGGACAGAAGGTGAAAAGTTAGACTTGACAAAAACTGCAACAGATAAAACAGCCCAAGAGTTAACCTCAGAATAATAAAAGGAACGGTATGGAGTATAATCATCCAATTCATTTGGCAGAATCTGTTCATCATTGGTTCAATTTTAACATTCCTTTAAAAACAAGGTTTGCTTACCAACTAGAATCTCTTGATGAAAAGAGTCCAACCTAGAATTAAAAAAACAACAATGATTAAGATAACCCTACAAGTCTTTAATTCCATGTACATATGGGTTCTTCAGTTAAGAGATTTCTACATGTATTTTTCAGGTCAGACATTTGGAACCATCATTAATGAACCCAATAATGACCCAAGGATAAGTGCTTCATTAGTGCTAAACAATCTTTAAAACCTCACCTGGGAGTAAATGCTAGCTGGAGTCCTGGGCACACCTGTAAGTAGACAAACATTAGATTAAATGTTGACCAAAACTCTAGTTATGCAAGAGATGCTATGCTAGTCATGACCAGTTCAGCTAGAGCTAATAACTTCATGGGGAAAGTCAGTTATTGAGATCATCATCACCACATAGGCCAGAGATGAAGCTACACTGCAAAAGCCTCCGTCTATAAAAACTAGATGCAGTCCAAGCCAGATGCACTTTGTATCTGATCCTGAAAGATCACCATAACATCCCAAGGCTCTCATGAGCGATTTAAACAATGCTGCCAAATGGAAGAGCCCCCCCTTTATGCCATTAACACTACAATACAAAAATGGTTGTTCAAGCTTAAAAAGGCTCAGAAAAACTAGAGATTTTAAGAAATGCAATGACTTACTGGAAGTGCCAGGTTCCAAATGCAGGAGTTAACTGCCTGTACGTGAGAAGGGGTGGGGAACAAAAATCAGCACAAGCTACATAAAAGTACAAGGACGTTTGCTTGACTCAAGCTAGGTTGAAATGTTTTAACCCTTCAGAAAAACTATTCAAGATTAGTTTTCAAGGGTCACCTACAGCTTAACACATCCTTAAGATTTCTACAGTGCAGAAACATTGGATTAAAATTTGCCTTCAAGACGCAAAAAACTAACAGACCTGCAACAATTCCAGAGCGAAGGTCATGATGGCATACCATTTGTGTCCGCACTGGTGCCCACTTTGTTACATGTACACTAAAGCAATCTCTGGATCAGATTCGCAGAAGAGTCCTCAGCAAAATCAGAGACCTAATTCTGATCATCATTTCCAAGATCAGCCCCATTTCCAGTTAAAATGAAGAAGGAGAAACTTAAGTTTACCTCTACATTCATCAGTTAGGCTCTGGGCTCCTAACAAAAAAACAGACCAGAATTAGATGGGTTCCATAAAACATCTGCAGAAGTCATGTTCAGCAAAGATACGTCAGCTAGGGGCGAAAAAGGTTCATCACAGAGTGTAAGCTGAACTATATTGTCATCACTGTATCTTGATAGCCTATGTAGTTCTTGCAAGAATGTAGGAACTGCAAACTTACCTTTCCATTCAATACGATGAAACCCCCCTGTAAAAAAAGTGAGAACTATTAAAATTTAATTCAACATTACTTAACTACTTAATACAATTCTGTAGGTAACTCAGCTAATAACTTTTTCGTCAAAGAATATCTGCTGAACTATGCAACCATCATCGTACCTGTGAAGACTTGCATTCTATAGTTTTAGCTAAAGAAAGTTACTCACATGAAGGAACTCCATACAGTTTGGGATCTCCCCCAGCCCCCTCTCCAATGAGGAGTCAGATCTGTAGAAAAGGCAATCAGTCAGTATACATCATACATTTAACAGCTACACAGTTGTTTCTAGTGCACTGTTTCAGTAGAAAGGTTTCTTTCACTCTTTTTCAGAGAGATTCCCATTGTTTAAAAAACCATTCATCATAAACAGTACAGAAGAGAATTCAAATGCCACAAACACCCAAAAAACTACAGAAGGGCATGATTTAATGACACCCTCCCATCCTAGGTAAGACCATGGCTTAACAGCTTTTGTTCTGTGATGCAGCAAGTAAAGAGCAAGTGTACCCAGCCCCGGTTCCAGAATCCCCAGTCCAATACTTTAAAAGAATTAAGAATGCTCCATGTACAGCTTACTCCAAAGACCACAGATGGTGGTCTAATAAAATGCTAGACTTGCTGGATTGGACCAGGACTGAAAACCACTACTCTGCCTTTTAAGAACTAGAATGTATAAGTCACTCAACAGCAAAGGACTCCTAAGCACTACATTTATATTGCATTTTGAAGCTTACCTGTGCTGCAAATAGATCATTCAAATCTCCATCTGCAAAAAGGCAAGGGGAAAAAAAGCATTAAGATGAAATTCAAATATCACACTAAAGGGATTCCCATTAGCTCTGTGCCTCAGATTTTATACTTGGTGGTTGCAAGACTCATCATCCTTGAGGGTCAAGAGTAGCAAATAATGTCATCACTATGGCACACAACAGGGGCACTGAACTATTCTTAAAATGGTCACATACCATTAAGAGGTCAAAAATATCTAGGAAGTTAGTTTCAAGACCAACAGAAGAGCATTCAGGGTGAACTTACCATCATCTCATCTTCCAGGGGGTCCACCATTGAGGGACTGCATGAACAAAATAGAGCATTTTAAGCCTAAATAGTCTATTCACCTTGGACTTAGCACAACTAGATTAAAAGCCTCAGTTTAGAATTTCTCAGAAAAATGTTCTGTCCACTACTCTTACACAAAAATCATCCCAGGCTTTTAAAGAACACCAACATTTTATTAAAATGTATCCAGATAGTATTTTAAATCTGAATGCTGCACCTGACAACATACTCCCAACACTTCAGATGTTACAACAAAACCCCCTTTCTTCAAACAAAAGTATACACAGGATGGGGAGTATCCCCCCCCAGCATATAAATACACCACGTGGGTATAGGATACACTGTAGAAGATAAATGCAAAAATTACAACAGTCATTGTCGCCATTTAATTACAAAACTATTTAAAAGTACATGTAGTTATTGAGGGTAGTAACCATCAAGATGTGATGGGAAACAGGAAAACCTGTCAATTCAGGATTTATGCTCAGATGGTGCAAGAAGCTTTGAGGACATGAGGGGGGTGAGCCCAAGATACTAAACTTCGGGATCCCTCTGTCATCAAAAAAACAAAGGACTTAATTACCTGCAATTTCACCTTTCACATCCCAAGGTGGCGTAACATTTTGGAGCTGTAAAATAAAACTCAACTTGAGCAGACCTAAAAGATAACATTACTAAAAAAATGCTAACGATAATTAAACTTTGCTTGTTGTGGTTTGTACAGTAAGCCAGTCCTCCAGACCGCAGTCATAAAACATGTTGGAATGAACAACTTAAAACGAATAGCCAAGTAGACACTTGTCTCGGCACTAACCATTAGCTGTTAAAAGCCTCAGTTTGCAACTTCTCAGAAATCTCTTCTGTCCACTACTCTTACACAAATATCATCCCAGGCTTTTGAACAGCAATCCATACTATTAAACACATGGATGCTTTGTTTTGCAGCAAAATTTTCCACCTTACAAAGGTACAGAAAAGACAATAACCTAAATAAGAGGTAACAAAAAGCAACCCCCCCCCAAAAAAAGCTTAGTATTTGCAAGTCAACCACAGATAAGAGAACCTATTATCTTAACTTTTTAGTGAAATCATAAAATATATAAAGCCCTGCTGCTTTGAAAGAGTTAAAACGGATCATTACCTCCACTTTGCCCACAGAAGTCATCCTGCTCATCTATGCTCAGATGCCCACAAGAGCCCTTTTCAAGAAAAGCAAAAGGACAGGAGTTAAATCCAGTCACTTAACTTTGTGATGTGTACAGAACTGAGCCCATGCCCAGGTCAGAGAGGTTGGCAATTCATCAGTACTACTCAGATGTCCCTACCAACACTTTGTTTCATCATTCAGACATGGGGCACAGAAACTAGATCATCCCCAGCCAACACAACTGGGAGTGAGTAGTTTCAGAAGCGGTAGTCGACTATCACAGCAACGAAACCACTAAGTCTAGTGTTCTACATATTAATTCATTAAAGTCCTCTTGACGTTATCGTAAAAACACAGCAGTTACCGAGTCACCAACAAGTGGGCTCTCGCACAACATTCTCAAAATACTGCAGAATCACAATTAACTCGCAGCATTTTAGAATTACTGCAGGATTAGATACAGAATTCGTTATCATTCCGAGCACCTACACAAGGTCCAAAAGGACAGGATCTTGCTTCAATACTATTTACTACGAAAGCCGCAGTCATAATGAAGCTTTAAAGTTGAAGGTCTTAGACGGCTACATGACTGCGCATCGATATTTGTGCACAGACTAGTCTAACATTGGCATACAGACCCGAATATTTACCATAAAACTACACTATGGTTAGGAAAGAAACGCAAAGCATACTTAATACACTCCTCTATTTCTACCGTTATTAAGTGTTAAGACGCAAGAGCCTGAACATTTTCCTTCAGGACACGTGGTGCAGGTTTCGCTCGGCCTGCAGGGCCAAAGGTGTGGAAGCAATCACAGATCGGCCTCCAACACAAAAAAACGGTCATTTTAGTAACTTGTCTAGCACTTCCTTCTAAATGAAAATTTTTCATTTAAAAATGAAAACGCAAAAGTTCATAATAATGGATGTTATCCCCAACGTAAGAAATACAGACACCCTTCCACCCTTACAAGAGCTCTTACCTCTACCAAAACACCGCGAAAATGAGACAGAGCAGCGCCTGGCCCCGAAATTTATAATCCCCTGTTCCCGTTGGCTCATGGGAAATATCGGAAATGCGTCATCGGAAACTGCAATTTTTCTTGTTAAAATATCCACAAAAAACTTTTTTCTTTTTGCAGAAACAAATTATATTTCTTAAAACAAGTTTGAATGCATAGTAGTCAGCGCTTGAATACGTATTCGAAATAATACAGTACATTTAAATGTACCGTATTTTCGAGAATATGCTTTGCTTTTCAATGAGCTTCTAGTATAACACATGTACCGTATTCATTTTTATACTTTCTTCTCGACGTGGTATGAAATATTCCGTTTCATTTCTCATCAGACCATACCGTGGCATATGCATTAACAGGATTATAGTGAATTAGCAGTAGTTTCGGTGAACGTTACAAAGTTAATCGTCCTAAGTGTGATGCAAACTCCCCGACTTCAAACAAAAGATAACAACTTAGTTTTACGGTTAAATTCCTCTCGAACAGGGCTTATATGGCTATATAATTCAAAGACCAAAACTGTGATTCTGCATATTTTGATCTTTTTATCAGAGTACCTGAAACTTTAACTTCTACCACTTCTATTGCGCCCTCTGACGGCCTTTCCTAACATATTGCCGCCAGAATGTGGGTTTCTGCTTTCCCATTTTAGCTTTAGAAATTAAACTGGAGGAATTTCTGGTACAGCGCATAACTTTTCACTTTAAGGATAATCACCCTCAACTATAGTAGAATAATCATTTTTAGCTTATAGTACATTTTACATTGCTAGTGTTGTAATAAGCAATATGTTCTAGAAAACACATTTACACATATGTAACATTTAATTTTAATATATTTGCATTATAATATGGCCTAACCCTTTATTAATTCTGGTTAATTGAGCAATGATACAATTATCCTTTTTTCCGGTTAAGTGGGAACTCGGACACATCTGGCTGCCACTCTTAACAAAATACTTACAGTGAATCTGCTGAGCCAAAGAAATCGAACATAACCGCTATCAATCCATCAGGAGGCACAATAGCGAAGTGGTAAATATGAACATGAACTGGAAAACTAGGTACTCATTTGGGAGATATTGTATTAAATAACGAAACGCAATACAATAAGTACTACTACAACTATTTTATTTATTATTAATAAATATAATAATATAATAATATCAGATTCTCACTTTTGATGGCGAAGTAGTCGATTCACTTAAAAACGTTATTTAAAAAGAAACTTGATGTACATTTAGGCAACACGGAAAAAATCTGTTAGATTTGGTTCTGCTGGGACTGATGGTGGCAGTTCCATTAGTGGATCCCGAGCCGAGAGGATCCCACTTGAGAGAAACAAAGTTAAATGAAAGCGATTACACAGCTGGCTTGAAGAGCGACGTGGTTCTCATTGAAGCGGTGGAAGCTCAGTCCAGTTTCAGCTCCAGATATTGACAGATGAACGCTCTTCACAAAGCAATGAGTAAAACCACACAGGAAAGGAGCCCTTTATAGCTAGAAGGGGACCCTGGTGATTTTTTCTACCCTTTTGTTTCCTTTGGACTGGCACTTTCTTGCTGGGGTCTGTTGAGCTGTTCCTTCTCTGGTGCTTTGTGTGTGAATCCTTGTTCTCGTATTGCTTTGAGATGCCAATAAACCTTAGTGACTCAGATGCCTGTAAATGTGTTTAGCTGTGTCTGGTAACTACCAAGAATCTCTAGAAGTAGCGCTGTATTCCAGCTAAAGTGTTGCTAAAATAGGGGAGTTATTTTCTAGCCTGCGGATTCCACAATGAAGAAAATCATTGCCAGCAGCCATATCACCCTGCAACTCACAACTGGCAACCCACTGAAGCTAAGCAGGTGTGAGCCTGGTCAGTACCTGGATGGGAGACCTCCTGGGAAAAACTAAGGTTGCTGCTGGAAGGGGTGTTAGTGGGGCCAGCAGGGGGCGCTCACCCTGTGGTCCATGTGGGTCCTAATGCCCCAGTATAGTGATGGGGACACTATACTGTAAACAGGCGCCGTCCTTCGGATGAGACGTAAAAAAACCGAGGTCCTGACTCTCTGTGGTCATTAAAAATCCCAGGGCTCTTCTCGAAAAGAGTAGGGGTGTACCCCGGTGTCCTGGCCAAATTTCCAATTGGCCCTTACTAATCATGGCCTCCTAATAATCCCCCTCTATGAATTGGCTTCATTACTCTGCTCTCCTCCCCACTGATAGCTGATGTGTGGTGAGCGTTCTGGCGCACTATGGCTGCCGTCGCATCATCCAGGTGGATGCTGCACATTGGTGGTGGTGGAGGGGAGTCCCCATTACCTGTAAAAGCGCTTTGAGTGGAGTGTCCAGAAAAGCGCTATATAAGTGTAAGCAATTATTATTATTATTATTAAATCAGAACTTCCAAAGACATAAGACAGCAAGCTCTCTTCTAGAATAAGGGTCAGTCTTTTACTTTTTCAGCATTCAGGTTCCCTGGCCAGAATTTTGTTTAAAGACTAATTTCAAGGCGACACTCTGTCACAATGCAAGCTTAGGAGGAAGAGGAAGATAATGGATAATGACACCACTGTTCCTTCATCCTCCTCCACTCTCTTGTTTCTGCTCCTCCCACTTTGTCTTTCCTGTAATTCTGCTGACAGAACAGCCTCCTTTTCATTTATTGTCTTAGCTTTGGGACTGGGACTAATATTCTTCTAGACTTCTCCTTAAGCTTCTCTAGCATAGTCAGAGTACAAACGAGGGGAGTGTGCCTGAAGTGAATGCTCACTAATAATTCATAATTGTTTACATTTATATAGCGCTTTTCTGGACACTCCACTCAAAGCGCTTTAAAGGTAATGGGGGCTCCCCTCCACCGCCACCAATGTGCAGCATCCACCTGGATGATGCGATGGCAGCCATAGTGTGCCCAGAACGCTCACCACACACCAGCTATTAGTGGGGAGGAGAGCAGAGTAATGTACTAATTGTACTAGTACTAATGCCCCTCACTATTGAATTTTTATTCTCTAATCTGGCAGCCTTAATGATTTACTGTGAAGTTAATTTAGAGGAGTAAATGATTAGATACACCCCTGACACCCAGTGTCTCCCCCTGTGTTTACTTGCCTCTTAGGTTGCACAGCTAGATAACAAGACAATTACTGGTAAACTGCAAATACATTTTATTCTAAACCTTCTCAGTAGGGCAATCCAGCTGGGAAATGCAAGCCAACTTTTTTTAAACTCAGGCTGACTCCAAGACATAGTATGAAATACCTTTAATTCTGTCAATTCAAACAGTTTTATTGGCAAGACCAATACGTTACAGCACTGCCAAACGCAGATACAATTAGAACAAGATTTACAGACATTTACAGTACAAGCCATTATTTGGACATTCCTTTACAACTGCTAGGTGTCATTCATACTGACCACAGGCCTTTCAACTACTCCACTGATTCAGCCTTCAAATAGCAAGTAACAGTTAACTAATAGCATTTAGTTTTGTTTAGTTTTTGTTCCTTCAGAAACCACCTACACTCACTTTATAAATGAAACATAAACACAGCAGCACTGGTAAACTTCAACAAAGAACTTACAACAGTTCAGTTGAAAAATCATTTATAAAACTTACTGAAAAGAATAGCCTTTCTTCAGGGTGGTCCTAAAACCAAAAGAGAAGAATTAAGAGAGAATTCTCCCAAATGCCAGAAAATAAAAGTACATCCCCAGGTTTGCTTGGATAATTCAGCTGGGAGCAGGAGAGACGTTCCACATGCCTAGGGGTGAAGAGACTGTTTAGCATGTGGCAGGAGGTGACTTCCAGCACACTCACTAGGACATCTGAGCAGTGTCTGTGTCCTGGATTTCACAGCTGTCACTGCTGAACACTTTGTATAGGCCAGTTTCTGGCTGGAAGACACAAAAGGGCATTAAAATGTAAACTAACAATGGCACCCATGAGCCAAAACTTTGTTGCTTTTTTTCTTTAATACAACGTTCCAAGAAGATGAGTACGATGCCATATTCTTACATCAACTTTTCCGTCCTCCCAGTCCGCCACAAACTTCTCCACCGCCTGCCGTTTGAGGCCTAGGATCTTTACAATGTCCTTCACAGACTTGCCGGTTTTCAGGGCCCCGACCACCATCCCGCGGTCGAACTCCGTCAGCTCCAGGCCTCCATCCATGCCTGTGCTGTGCAGCTCCCTGCCAGCCACTGCAATGGCAACACAGGACAAGACAGGCAGCAGTACTTCCATGTGTGACGGGGCTCATGCGTGAGTGATGTCACCCCCCTCTGAAATCTAGACCGAGTCAAACTCCTGTGGCAGAGGACCTGGTTGTCCAGGGAGGGGCGCTATGTGTCCTCAGAGCCTGTGAACAACTGGGATTGATTCCGGCAAGGGCAGCGAGGGTGGCCATCGGTTACATAAAGGCAATTTATTCCCCCTAAGAGTCACAGGGTTAAACCGGAGACTAACCTGGCAGCTAAGAAAGAAAGACAGGACTACACCCTGGAGAGCAACGAAGCAGAGAAGAGAAAACCTACATGAACAAGAGAAAACAATGACGTTCCCAATGCAAGACTCGAACCCAGGACCCAAGAGACCTGAGGCAACACCAACAGTCACAAAAGAATACTGTAGACATGTTTTTATATCTTTTTAGATTTTATATCTTTTTTATCTTTGTATTTGAGATTTCATTTAGGTGGTAGATTCATATTACCGCAGTATTCCAGCAAAAAAAAAAAAAGTTGCTGAAAACACAGCTCAAAACAGCATAGGAAGGACTGTGGTTGTGTTGGATCATGTCTAATGGGCTCCAGAGGTATAAAACTAAAATACTTCCCCCTCTATGCTTCTTTTGTGAGAGAAGGATGACACTCTTGTTTGATAATTCCGTATTTTTTTAGCTTTCACTGTTTATAAGTACATCAAACTATGATAACATCTTACGCTTGGGTAATCACTACGGAAAACCATACAGTATATGAAAATTGACTGGATGTTAAGTGCAATA